TCGCTAATCTTTCATGTTCCTCCTTAAATTTTTAATTTTATAAAATAATTAAATTAAAAATACAATTAATCTTCGACTTGCTTCGAGTTTAACAATTCTTTCATTTAATTTTAAGATTTTAGCTTCAATTAATTTCTCCATTTCCTCCACTAATCTGTCTCTTTTCTCAACTATTTTTAATCTTTCCTCCATACGTCTTTCACCTTCCTTTAAACGTTCAAATTAGTAAAAATATTTAAATAAACTTCAAGTTCTTTGACTTGCTTTCCTATTTTGAGGATTTTTGTAGATACTTTTCTGTTATGCTACCTTCCCCTAAATTAATGCCTAAAAATGTCAAATATAGGGTAATAAAAGGTAAAATGAGCTTACACCAGTGATGTTCAGGAGAAGAAAAAACCCGGGAATCGGAAACGGGAGTCGGGATACCCGAACATCACTAGCTTACTCCACCCTATTATTTTTGACCATTTCGAGCCCTATATCTCAGTCCTCAGGCATCTCCAGGCACAAAGAAGGTACCGTTAGACTCAGCACTTTTTATTACCCTATTTATGATTTTTAAAATTAATTTAGGGAGAAGTGGTATAACGGAAAATTACCCCTTTGTGTCTAAAAGAAAATCTTTTTTAAAAATCATTTTCTAATAACCAACCCATCTTTTCTGAAAATCTTTTCCAACAAATAAATAAACAATAGAGGAAGAAGTTAATAATTTAATGACTTGATTACTCCACAATTTCTCAAATTCTTTTTGTTTTAACTTTAAAGGTATATCATCATTTTGAAAAACTTTGTTAGCAAATTTCATAATTGTATAATCTGCAGCTTTAAATATATCAACAAGCAATTCTAGAGGTAATTTTTTATTTTGATTTTTTGATTTCATTATTGGAAATAATTGAATTATATAGTACTGCTGAAAGAATGAACGGGTTTTTTTGGAAATAATTTTATTTGATATCTAAAAAAATTAAGAGTTTAAATTAATAATTAAAAATGTCCTCAAAATTAAATTTGAAATAAAATAATAATTAGGGTGGTCCAAAATATGCATTTGCATGTTTTGAACAACCTTAATTACATGAACTTTGAAAGAAAAATAACAAATTAAAATTATTTAAATTAATTTTTGCTAAAATCTGCAAGTTTTGCCTTTAACTTACAAAATTGGACGAACTTTTATAAATATATAAAAACTGGACAAACTTCTATAAAATTAAACCTCTTATATTTCTCTTCCAAAAATTAAAAATGTTAAAAAATATCTCAGGTAGTAAATGACGTTCAAACCCCCGCCCCTTTTCTTCTCTCACAAAATGCCTTACGAACCTTTTCTCTTAATTTCCTTTTCAAAAATAACTAAATATTTTGTAGGTCTTAAGATCATTTCGATGGTCCACTCGCCTGTTTACAAAATTAATCTTTTTGATATTTGCCTTGTAAAAAATAAATGAAAATGAGGAAGAACAGAATATTTAAAAATTGCATATTTGAATAAAAAATTCTTTTTTTAAAAATTATATTTTTAATTGAAAAAACAGAAGCAAAAATTTTGTTTTAATTTCTTTTTAACAAATTTTTATTCTTCATTCCCAATTTCTTCACAATTCTTTTTCACATTTCTTCATTCTTCTCCACCAACAGTAGTCGAAGTATTTATTTCTTCTCCCTCCTCTTTATTTAAATAATTATTAATTTTTTCCAAATTTTCTTTTATTTTTAACTCAACAATTAAATTAAATAAACCGTTGAAAATATCTAAAGGTATATCGTTTTGTGTTAGATTAAATTTTATCGCGTAAATTTTCTTCTTTTCTTCATTTATTGATTTTTTAAATTCTTCCTTAAATTATCTTATAAATTCAAAAATTATTTAAATTGAATACTTTTAGTTCCTCAGATTCAACAAGTATTTCTTTTAATCCTCTTAATCTTAAAAGAACTGCATAAATTTCTTCCATTTCCTTTCTTAATTTAGGGATTTCTGCCTAAAAAATTATTTAAAATATTAATTACAAATAACCACCAACCAATCTTTTTTTAAAAATTTTTCCCACAAAAATATAGACAATAGAGGAAGAAGTTAATAAATTAACGACACAACTAATCCAAAATCTTTTAAATTCTTCTCCTTTTAACATTAAAGGTATATTATCATCATTGAAAAAAACTTTTTTAGTAAATTTCATAATTGTAGAATCTGTAGATTTAAATATATCAATAAGCAATTCAGGAGGTAATTTTTTGTTTTGATTTTTTGATTTCATTATGTGAAATAATTAAATTGAAAATTATTGGTGAAAGAATGAACGGGTTTTTGGGAATATTTTATTTGCAGACTAAAAAATTTATAGTTAAATTAATAATTAAAAATCCCCTCAAAATTTAAAAAAGTAATAATTAGGGTGGTCCAAAATATGCATTTGCATGTTTTAGACAACCCTGATAATAATCACTTTAAACATAAATTATTAAAAATTATAGCACGAATATTGAAAGAATAACAAATTAAAATTATTTAAATTAATTTTTGCTAAAATCTGCAAGTTTTGCCTTTAACTCACAAAATTGGACGAACTTTTATAAATATATAAAAACTGGACGAAATTCTGTAAAATTAAACCTCTTATATTTCTCTTTAATCAACAATTAAAAATGACAAAAAATATTTCAGGTAGTAAATGTCGTTCACACCCCCGCCCCTTTCCCTCTCTCACAAAATGCCCTTCGAACTTTTCCCTTAATTTCCTTTTCAGAAATACTAAATATTTTGTAGCTCTTAGAATCAGTTTGATGGTTCACAGCCTTTTTTAGAAAATTAATCTTTTTGATATTTGCCCTGTAGAAAATAAGGGAAAACGAGGAATAAAATATTTAAAAATTGTATATTTGGAACGAAGAAATGAAGAGGAATTGTGAAGAAATTGGTCGAAGAATTATGCCCCTACAACACCATTTGAATAAAAAATTCTTTTTAAAGATTATATTAGGTGCGGACATAATTAGTGGCCGTTTTTTAAATTGGATTTTTAGTATTAAGTTTATAGAAAATATTTTTTATTTTTATTACAAATCATTTGTTAGTTTTTTTTCTAAAGGATCCCAGCATTTCAGAATTTTTGGTTAGGTATTCATGGAGTTCTGATCGAAAAAGTCAAAATTTTCGAAACCATCGAAAAGCCGGCCGAGCAGGACCGTTATTCTTAATGACAGACGTCTCCCTCGACCATGTTTGCTTCTGAGAGTTATACGGCCTTATTCATAAAGCCAAAACCCTATTTTTTGCTGTCTAGCATAGACAACGACCCCATTGACTAGATCATTAAGATTATTTGATTTTTTTGTTGCATTTTTGGTAAATTAAAATTTTTGGTGTAAATGCTTGAAAATTTCACTACGAGGTAGTGAAGTTCAAAAAATCATAACTTTATGAATATCACCGATATATACATAAACCTGGTATTAAAATGAAGATTAGATTCAGATCTTTATGTTGGTTGATAAGAAAAAAGAATATTTGTAAAATAACACCCCTAAAAATTCAATCTAAAAAAACGGCCACTAAATATGTCCGCACCTAATATTTTTAATTGAAAAAACAAAATCAAAAATTTTGTTTTAATTTCTTTTTAACAAATTTTTATTCTTCATTCCCAATTTCTTCACAATTCTTCATTCTTCTCCACCAACAGTAGAAGTATTTATTTCTTCTTCTTCTCCCTCCTCTTTATTTAAATAATTATTAATTTTTTCCAAATTTTCTTTTATTTTCATGTCAACAACTAAATTAAATAAATTGTTGAGATAATTTAAAGGTATATCGTTTTGTGTTGGATCAGCCCTGCTAGGTGGAATATCACGTCCCCAAACATTAATTGTTGTTGTTGAAATAAATAAAAATAAAATTAAAATATTTTTAATTTGCATTTCTTTTTATGTAAATCTGAAAAATAATTTTTTTCTGAAGATTTCTGGGTAATTTATTGACAGAAAATTAGTTAAAACTTTATCCTAAACTAAAAATACTTTGTTTCCCATTTAAAAACAAATAATTATTGACAAATATCCCAATGTTTTTTGTTATCCCTCTAAATAAAATTAATTAATTTTTAATAGAGTTGTTGACGTTTTCAAGTCGGGTTGAAGTTCGGGGAAAATTTTTGTGTTTCTTTTGGCTGTTCGAGTCTATTTAGGGTTAAATATATGTAATGCCTGTTTTCATAGTCTTATGATTCGGGCCGTTTTTAGACAAATTAAATAAATTTTTTGTGAAAATAAATTTTTAATTAATTAAAAAGAAAATCTTCAAGTATTTGTTTTTCCCTTTCTCTTCAACTTTTTTATATTCATTTCTTCAATTTATTTTTTGTAAATTTCGAAAAAAATTTAGTTCCAAAATTATTTTTTCTATTTTTATTTCTTTAATAAAAAATTTTTGCAAATTAAAAAATATGACGACAAAAAAGCAAAATTAAAATAAACCATTAAATTACCCAAAATTACTAAAATATTTATTTAACTGGCAATAATTAATTCCAAAAAATTTTTTTAATTCTTAAAAAGGAAAAAAGGGAAATATTTATTTTATGCAAATGCTAAAATTTTTTAAAAAATTCTTTCAAAATTTAAAAAAAAAGATTTTTGCAAAGTTCTTTCACTTTTTTTGCTAAGTTCTTCAGTTCAATTAGACCAATTTATAAAGAAAAATTCGAGATATACCTAAAATATGGGTGCCTTTATAATAATAATACAGTACATTAAAGCATCCTAAATTAATTAATTACTAAAAATATTCCAAACAAAAACTCTTTAATTAAATAAATAACAAATTTTGAATATTACTTTATTTTTGAAATTATTTAAATATTTATCAATGAAATGATTTTTACATTTTAAAAAATAAATTTCTTATTCTATGTAATTTTTAAGGCATAAACTTCAAGATTTCTCAAAAAGTTTTTTTCTCGTTATTATAAGTAAATCTTTCCCATCATTTTTTATTCGGTTAAAGATAAATCATAATGAGAACGAGTACGTTTCAAAATTGTACCACCATTCTCACTTACTATCTGACAACTACCCCATCTCTTCTTTTTCCTCGCTAATCTTTCATGTTCCTCCTTAAATTTTTAATTTTATAAAATAATTAAATTAAAAATACAATTAATCTTCGACTTGCTTCGAGTTTAACAATTCTTTCATTTAATTTTAAGATTTTAGCTTCAATTAATTTCTCCATTTCCTCCACTAATCTGTCTCTTTTCTCAACTATTTTTAATCTTTCCTCCATACGTCTTTCACCTTCCTTTAAACGTTCAAATTAGTAAAAATATTTAAATAAACTTCAAGTTCTTTGACTTGCTTTCCTATTTTGAGGATTTTTGTAGATACTTTTCTGTTATGCTACCTTCCCCTAAATTAATGCCTAAAAATGTCAAATATAGGGTAATAAAAGGTAAAATGAGCTTACACCAGTGATGTTCAGGAGAAGAAAAAACCCGGGAATCGGAAACGGGAGTCGGGATACCCGAACATCACTAGCTTACTCCACCCTATTATTTTTGACCATTTCGAGCCCTATATCTCAGTCCTCAGGCATCTCCAGGCACAAAGAAGGTACCGTTAGACTCAGCACTTTTTATTACCCTATTTATGATTTTTAAAATTAATTTAGGGAGAAGTGGTATAACGGAAAATTACCCCTTTGTGTCTAAAAGAAAATCTTTTTTAAAAATCATTTTCTAATAACCAACCCATCTTTTCTGAAAATCTTTTCCAACAAATAAATAAACAATAGAGGAAGAAGTTAATAATTTAATGACTTGATTACTCCACAATTTCTCAAATTCTTTTTGTTTTAACTTTAAAGGTATATCATCATTTTGAAAAACTTTGTTAGCAAATTTCATAATTGTATAATCTGCAGCTTTAAATATATCAACAAGCAATTCTAGAGGTAATTTTTTATTTTGATTTTTTGATTTCATTATTGGAAATAATTGAATTATATAGTACTGCTGAAAGAATGAACGGGTTTTTTTGGAAATAATTTTATTTGATATCTAAAAAAATTAAGAGTTTAAATTAATAATTAAAAATGTCCTCAAAATTAAATTTGAAATAAAATAATAATTAGGGTGGTCCAAAATATGCATTTGCATGTTTTGAACAACCTTAATTACATGAACTTTGAAAGAAAAATAACAAATTAAAATTATTTAAATTAATTTTTGCTAAAATCTGCAAGTTTTGCCTTTAACTTACAAAATTGGACGAACTTTTATAACTTCTATAAAATTAAACCTCTTATATTTCTCTTCCAAAAATTAAAAATGTTAAAAAATATCTCAGGTAGTAAATGACGTTCAAACCCCCGCCCCTTTTCTTCTCTCACAAAATGCCTTACGAACCTTTTCTCTTAATTTCCTTTTCAAAAATAACTAAATATTTTGTAGGTCTTAAGATCATTTCGATGGTCCACTCGCCTGTTTACAAAATTAATCTTTTTGATATTTTCCTTGTAAAAAATAAGGGAAAACGAGGAACAGAATATTTAAAAATTGTATATTTGAATAAAAAGTTCTTTTTAAAAATTATATTTTAAATTGAAAAAACAAAATTAAAAATTTTGTTTTAATTTCTTTTTAACAAATTTATTCTTCATTCCCAATTTCTTCACATTTCTTCATTCTTCTCCACCAACAGTAGTCGAAGTATTTATTTCTTCTTCTTCTCCCTCCTCTTTATTTAAATACCGTATATACTGTATTTATTACCCTCCCTCAAATAGTTACCCCACCTGCTTTTATTACCCCCTTTAGCAAGAGATCGAAACAATAATTGCCCTCCCTTAAATAATTACCCCCTATTTTTTCTAAGCTAATGTTGAAAATATTTATTAAAAACATTATGATTTTAACAATGGGCATTTTAATGATCATATAAAAAATAAATCAAGAAAATAAAAGGATTTGGAGAGGATAACCCGGATACTTTTAATTTTTAAGCATTTAAGGATCAATATTCTGTCTTTAGTCATATTATAAGAAGTATATTTACAGAATGTAGGGTATATTCCCTAAATAGGAATCATACATACTTTTATACACATGACCATCGTGTCTTTATATCTCCCAGGGAGGAAGCATTGGTGTTATTGTACCGTATTGGGGTATATTATATATGAAAGTATTAAGAAAATAAAAAATATCTGTAAAAATTTACTAATATTTATCTCTACATTCGGTAACATATTGTATATTACAGTTCATATCTTTACGATAAAATAAAAAATTTACAGGTCGAAATAATAATTGCCCTCCCTCAAATAATTACCCCACCTGCTTTTTTTACCCCCTCCAGCGAGAGATCGAAACAATAATTACCCAGGGTAATTAATACAGTATATACGGTAATTATCAACTTTTTCCAAATCTTCTTTTATTTTTAAATCAACAACTAAATTAAATAAATCGTTGAGATAATTTAAAGGTATATCGTTTTGTGTTGGATCAGCCCTGCTAGGTGGAATATCACGTCCCCAAACATTAATTGTTGTTGTTGAAATTAATAAAAATATAATTAAAATATTTTTAATTTTCATTTCTTTTTTATGTAAATCTGAAAAAAAATTTTTCTGATGTTTTCTGGGTAATTTATTGACAGCAAATTTTTTATTCTAAACTAAAAATTATGCCCCTACAACACCTCAGAACTACTTTACATATTTCCAATTTAAAAACGAATAATTATTTACATATATTCTAATGTTTTTTTGTTATTCCCCTAAATATTTTTTTTTAATTTTTAATGGGGTTGTTGGCGTTTCCAAATCGGGTCGAAATTCTGAGAAACATTTCCAGGGTTTCTTGGCTGTTCGAGTCTATTTAGGGTTTGCTTGATTTAGTCTTATGAAAAGAGTCGGGGATGTTTTTGGATAAATTAAATAATTTTTTTGAGAAAATAAATTTTTAATTAATTAAATAAAAATAAAATTTTCGAGGATTTATTTTTTCCCCTTTCTCTCTTCAACTTTTTTATATTCATCTCTTCAATTTATTTTTTGTAAATTTCAAAAAAAAATTTAGTTCCAAAATTATTTTTTCTATTTTTGTTTCTTTAATAAAAAATTTTTTGCAAATTAAAAAATGTGAAAACAAAAATGAAAATTAAAATAACCCATTAAATTACCCAAAATTAAAATACAGGGTGGGGCAAAAGTTCGGCGACAAATGTTTTTAGTAGAATCTATTGTAAAAAAATTTATTTAACATTGAAAAAATGATAAAATATCATCAATAGGATATAATAATCACTTTATTAAAGCAATTTCTCAAAATGACCGCCCCTGACTGAAATACACGCATCCAAACGCTTACGAGTGTTACTCACAATGGTCGCCCATTGTTCATCGGTTATTTAGTTCCAGCCTGCTCCAAAACAACTTTCAGTTCCTCCGATGTAGCGTATCGGATTCAGCATACTTTTTGCTCCAGAATTGCTCAAATAGAATAATTTACTGATTTAAATCCGGAGAGTTTGAAGGCCAGATATCTTTCCTCAAAAAGCGAGGAAACAGCTCCTCGCAGAGCTGGCTTGTTGTTTTGGCTCAATGCGAGGGTGCCCGATCCTGCTGAAGCGAGAAATGGTTTTCAACAAAATGCTATAATGTCCGTGGATGCAAAACCTCCCTCAGAATGTCATTTTTTTAGACTAGCATTGATTTTTAATTTCATCACTCTGTTGAGGCGACCAGCTGCGACCAGGCGTTTAATCTTTCGACAATTCTGAAGCAGCTGATGCTTTATTCGATCGTTAAGGAAATTTGCGCGGCTTATCTTGTAGCTCCGAAGTCTAAGCTTCACTTTGACAATCTTCGGAGGCTCCTCGAGCTCATTCCGAGATCTGAGACCGTTTTTCACATCGATTGTTCAGAAAAACTGCGAATTCGTCATCTGACCACGTTCATGTTTTTAGGCGTAACTCCGGTTACTGGCCAGACACTACAAGAGTGGTCCTGAGTATTTCCAAGCTCCTGATATCATTTTATTGTTTTGGAAACTATCATACGACAGATATCGAGCCGTCCAGCGTAGTCACATTGTGAAAGATTTTTAAAATACAAAGAAATAATAAAATCACAATTATTTGACACGCTGTAAAATTTTTACTTTATGAGATAGAAAAAAATTTTCAAAATAAAATTTGTAGAGCACGAATTATAGAATATGGGAAAAATAAACAAAAAGCAAAATTTAAAATAAAATTTTAAGAAAGGACAAAATAAAATTTGTCGCCGAACTTTTGCCCCACCCTGTATTTATTTATTTAACTGGCAATAATTCATTCCGAAAAATTTTTTTAATTCTTAAAAAGGAGAATATTTATTTTATGCAAATACTAAAATTTTTTAAAAAATTCTTTCAAAATTAAAAAAAAAAAAGAATTTTTTGCTAAGTTCTTTCACTTCTACATTTAATATTATTTTATTATTCGTCGATCAAAAATTAAACCAATTTATAAAGAAAAACTCGATATAGTATGACCTTTATAATAATTTTTCACACTGTAACATTAAAGCTTCTTAAATCAATTAATTACTAAAAATATTTTAAACAAAAACTCTTTATTAAAAAACTAATCTTGAACATCACTTTTATTTTTGAAATTATTTAAATATTTATTATAAAAACTATATTTAAAGAAAAAGAGATAAATATTTATAAAACTTTCGAAAAAATAAATATTAATTAGATAAACCTTGCAGATAAAATATAACTTGTAAATTTTGAGACATCAATTTATTTTTAAAATTATTTAAAGTCAAAAAAGTAATAATAAACAATTCCCGTCATTTTTTAATCATTTAAAGGTAAATCATAATGTGAACGAATACGCTTCATCAAAATTGTACTACCAATCTCACTCACTATCTGACAACTATTCCACGTTTTTCTTTTTCCCCGCTAATCTTGTTTGTTCCTCCTTAAATTTTTAATTTTATTAAAAAATAATTAAATTAAAAATACAATTAATCTTCGACGTGCTCCGAGTAATTCTTTCAAATACTTTTAAAATTTTAGCTTCCATTTCCTCCACTAATTTTTTGCTTTCTTCCATTATTTCTTTTTCGTCCGCAAGAAAATCCTTTAAACGTTCAAATTAGTAAAAATATTTAAATAACCTTAATTCCTTTAATTTTCTTTCCTAACTGGAGAATTTCTATCTAAAAGAAAAATCTTTTTTTTTATTTTAAAAATCATTTAATAACCAACCCATCTTTTCTGAAAATATTTTCCAAGAAAAATATAAATTATAGAGGAAGAAGTTAATAAATTAATGACTTGATTACTCCACAATTTCTCAAATTCTTTTTGTTTTGACATTGAAAATATTTCCTCAATTGCCTCATCTGTAGCTTTAAATATATTAACAAGCATTTCTGGGGGTAATTTTTTATTTTGATGTTTTGATGATTGCATTATATAAATTTATTTAAAATCAAAGAAATACTGAAATTGCTTTGATTTATTTCCCGTTGATTTTTGTTAATTTGCCAAAAAGGTGCTATTAATATTAAATCAAAAATAAAATCAAAGTTTCCTAAAATGCTTAAAAATAGAGTTATTGGTTGTCGAAAAAAAATCGGGGGTCGAAAACTTTCTATAATCGAAAACCATTGGCACCGGTCAAGCCCCAACATCCCTACTTAAAAATATCAAAAATATTCAAAACAAAATCTTATTTTTATTTAACAATAAATAAAGAATAAAGTAAAAAAGCAAAACCGATGGTAAAAATTTGTAAATGATACATACGTTTTTCGTCGTTTGTATATGTAGATCTTTAACCTTAGCCTAGACGTTTAAATGCTGCTATCAGATAAATCATCCTTATTACATTAAAAAATAACTTTTCCACTTCTCATTGAAAATATTAAAAAAAAACAATTCTATTTCTAATCTACATAGGTACCAGGGCTGGACGAAATTAAAAAAAAAACGAAATGCGAAATTAGCCCTGCCCTGATAGGTTAAAGGTAATAATCGTTCAATTTATTTGTGGTTAAGTAAATATAAAAATCCGCAAATTTTCCCCCCAAATAACACAACAAAATTTTGATATTTAAAAATATTTTAGATATTAAAAAAAATGAAAAATTTTATAAAACAAAAAAAACTAAATATAAAGCAACTTTTTTGGTATGACATAAAATAATTAGAAAATAATTCTCAGAATAGTTTTTGAGTTTATTTAAGAATAAAAATATTTACAAATTACCCGTTCCTTCTTCAATAAATGATTTCTTTGTTCAATGAAGTTGAAAAATAAGAACGAGGACATTTTTTAATTGGACAACTCTTCTCTTTATTCCAATCGGATATTCGTCTCTTCAAAATTTTAAATCTTTTTGCTTTCAATCCCAAAGTTTCTTCAATTATTTCAATCTGAAATTTGTATTAAATAAATTAATTAAAATACAAACAGTTCTTCTTTCCCCTCCATTTTCCTCTTTTAATTGTAAAATATATTCTTTTATTTTTAAAGTTTCAGCCTCAATTAATTCAGTTTCCTCATTATAAAACTTTTAAATTAAATTAAAGTAAATATAAAATATATAATTTAAAAACTTTTATGTTCTCACTCACACTTCTTTCTTCAAGTATAAATAACTAAAAATATTAAAAAGAGACTCATTTTAATTCAAAAATTAATTTAATTAACCCATCTTTCTTTTAAAAATTTTTGGATAAATGTAGAGACAATAGAGGAACAAGTTAATAAAATATTAACTTGATTAATCCACAATTTCTCAAATTCTTTTTGTTTGGACATTGAAGATATTTCTTCAAATTTGAGTAATAAATTCTCCATTAACGCCCCATCTGTAGATTTAAATATATCAAAAAGCAATTCTGGGGGTAATTTTTTATTTTGATGTTTTTTTGATTTCATTATTATTTTAAAATATTAAGGAAATTTTTGGGGAATTTTTTAATTAAAAATTTAATTATATATTTGACAAAACAGTCGAAAGTTTCCAAATTTAAATATTCCCAAGATTATTCACAAATTCAAACAATTCATGTCATTCGAGAAAAAATCAGCACTTAAATTATTCACTAAAAAATTTGAGCTATTTGGGTGACAATTTTGCTTTTCTCATTTCCTCTTAAACCTTCGCCTAGACATTTCAAATGCTGCTAAATGAATAATCCTACAAAAATTTTTCCTTCAAATATATTAGCAATAGTTGACGTTAACAAATTCTTGCGAGAATTATTCCATAAATTTCCAAATTCTTTTATTTTTTGATCTTGTTAAAATTTATATTGTTAAGTTTAAATAACAGTTCGACTAATCCACCATCTAACAATAAGTATAGTTTAATACATATGTAAATGTAATTCTTTATTTTTTAATTTTATTTACAAGACAATGTTGAAATACTGACTTGAAGTTATTTAGAGGTAAAAGTCTGTAAGCAATAATTGGTTATCTAAAATTTAACAAAATATTATAAAAATTAATATTAACCCAAAAAATATTCAAAGCAAAATTTATTTATTTTTATTTAAACAACAAATAAAGATGATGTATTAAAACTGCCGAAACCAAAATAAAAAATAGCAGAAAATTCGCTTTTCGTCGCTTTAAATTTTGTTCTAGTTTTGCCTTCACTCTTTCAACTTTTTCTAGTATTTTCTCTTCAATTTCTTCATTTCGTCTTCTATATTCGTCCAATCTAGCAATTCGTTCGTCTATTTCTTCCATACGAAATTCAATCTTAATAAAATATCAAAAAATATTAATTTAAATCTCAACACATACAGTGCTGGAAAAAACTATAGCCGCACTTTTGAAAACTTTATAACTTATGAAGGAGTTACCCAAGCAACATCAAATTTTGTTGAAAAATGTAAAAAATAGATAGGAAAATAATGGTATTTAAATATTCTCAAAATTTCAAAAACAAAACACAAAAATTTTAAAAATTCAAAAATACGCATAATTTTTACTGGAAAAAACTATAGCCGCACCTGTATTTTCGACCTTAGGAGTGGTCCGAAAAATCTACAAAAATTCCTGTAAACATATCTATTGATATCTATAGAAAGTACAAAAGAAATGAAGTTCCTATATAATTCCTTCATTGAGATCTGAAAACCCGAAAATCAACGGAAAACCGGGGGTAGACGTCTTTAAAAAATATTTTCGACCCCTTACAGGTAAGATAAAAATTTTATTTTGGGCTTATTTGAAAGCCCTTGAAATTTGCTACAAGATAGTATCAATTTTATTTCCTGAAAAAAATTCAACTTTAAGACATACTGTGATAAACTTTCAGATCATGAAAATCTCTCAAAAGCCCCCCAAAAAGTGATGAAAATGTAACTTATGAACTAGACACATTATTTCTCAAAGATAAATTTTTTCTGGATTATGTGATGATAAATATCTTGTAGCAAATTTCAAGGGCTTTCAAATAAGCCCAAAATAAAATTTTTATCTTACCTGTAAGGGGTCGAAAATATTTTTTAAAGACGTCTACCCCCGGTTTTCCGTTGATTTTCGGGTTTTCAGATCTCAATGAAGGAATTATATAGGAACTTCATTTCTTTTGTATTTTCTATAGATATCAATAGATATGTTTACAGGAATTTTTGTAGATTTTTCGGACCACTCCTAAGGTCGAAAATACAGGTGCGGCTATAGTTTTTTCCAGTAAAAATTATGCGTATTTTTGAATTTTTAAAATTTGTGTTTTGTTTTTGAAATTTTGAGAATATTTAAATACCATTATTTTCCTATCTATTTTTTACATTTTTCAACAAAATTTGATGTTGTTTGGGTAACTCCTTCATAAGTTATAAAGTTTTCAAAAGTGCGGCTATAGTTTTTTCCAGCACTGTATTTAAACCTTTTCCCTTTTTTCGAGGATTGTTGCCTAAAAATAATGGAAAATCTTCTTTTTCTTTAGAAAATACCCACCCATCTTTCTTTTAAAAATTTTTGGATAAATGGAGAGACAATAGAGGAAGAAGTTAATAATTTATTAACTTGATTAATCCACAATTTCTCAAATTCTTTTTGTTTTAACATTGAAGATATTTTGTGAAGATTGGGTAAGGATTCAAGTATTGCACCATCTGTAGCTTTAAATATATCAACAAGCAATTCGGAAGGTAATTTTAAATTTTGATGTTTTGATTGCATTACTAATTAGCTAAAGAATTTTGCAGATAATTTTTACAAGTTTTTATAAATTAATTAGGGTACCGTATTTTCTCGATTAATTCCCGTAAGGAATTATTTTTTCAACCCTTCCTCAACGTGAGGAATTAATCGAGGGAGGGGATCGGTATAAATTTGACAGAAAATTATCCGAAAAAAATTTGCTTCGAGGGCCCAAACTCCGATCCGCTCGATACATGCCATTCGAAAGAGCTCGAAAATCAGATCAGACACCAAAATTAGATTGATTCGACGATCTTAACAAAGTTATGATCGTTTGTTTTTATGTATTTCTGGGTCTCAAAACAAGTTTTTCCTTTTCGAATATTTAAAAATAAGTCCAAAGAAATTATCGCAAAAGAAGCCTTTAATAATATTAAACTTTTTTAAAATTTTAATAATTTCAACAACTTTTTTATACAGATCTTTAACCTTCGTTTTTTTTTTCTTAATCGACACATAAATATATAATGTGAAACAATAAAATGAAAAAAACCTCCTGGATCCACGGGGATCACTTATGGAGATATTAACTTAACAAATAAAATATGCGTTAGTATAAGTCAGTTTTTAAAAAAAATGATAAGTTTTGAAAAATAAAATAAGAAAAAGAAAAATTTTTTACATAATGAAAAAAATGGACTACACAGAAAAATAAATATGAAGAAAAATAAATATGAATGAATGAATTTAAATGCTACTATGTAGATGAATCATCCTTACATTGTATAAAATAACTAATTGATATTTTTTGACTTTTCCCAACATGTAAATACAAAAGATAAAATTTAGCTAAAACTTTCAAGCCTTTTCGAATATATTTTGTCAAATTTCGATTATTTAATTGACATAATTTAACAAAAGAATTTATTTATTTATATTTTATATAAAAAAATTTTTTTGAAAAACTTTCAGTTTTACCTAGTACATTCTGAACATTCAAAAAACTGTTTAGCATTTACTCCACCATTATTAATCTTTTGAACTTTTTTAATCTTTATGAGAAAAAAAGGCTAAAGTGTGAATATTAAAAATTTGGTTATATCGTGTAAAATTATTATTTATTTCAATTTTAAAAAAAATTCGTAAAAACTCAGATCCGTTAATAAAATAAAATTTAAAATAAAATATTTAGTATATTCCGAAATGCTTAAAGAAAGTAAAATATTCAAAACAAAAATATTCGTTATTTTTTAATCAAAAATATTTAAAGGTGTAAAATAATTTAAAATCAAAAAACTATCCGAAATTATCTCTCCACATTTTCCATTCTTCCACATCCTAAATATTTGCTGACTACTAAACCTCGAATTGTCGGTTAAAATAAATTATTTAAATAAACCAAAATTGCTCATTTTTAACTCTAACAGAATTTTCTGGGGGAATAAGTTCGAAATAAATATACACCTTCGATAATTTTAATTTTTAAAAATAATTGGATGAAAGGAAATTGCAGGGAAACAATCGGATAATTAAGCTTTTGTTAAAATTATTTTCTAGAAAATTAAGTCGAAAAATAAACATTCACTCGTCTTTCCTTGATTTTTTAATTTCTTCATTGTTTTGTGAAGATAAAACAAAACGCTTTGCACACGGACAATACTCATCATCTTTATCCCCCTCCGATTTTCGTCGCTTCAAAATTGTCTTAAATCCTACATATTCTTCCTCAATTTCTTCTTTAAATACATTTTCTCTTCTACGTTCTTCTCGTTTCACAAATTCTTTTAATATATTTAACAATTCTTTATTTTCCTCCCTCAAACGCTTTAAATAAAAAATAACAAAAATATAGAAAATTTAAACCTCATGTAGTTGAACCTTTTCCCTTACTTCACAGATTAATATCTAGAAATGTTTTAAAATATTTTTTCTTTAAAAAACATTGAATACCCACCCATCTTATTTTAAAAATTTTTCCAACAAAAATATAAACAATAGAGGAACAAGTTAATAATTTGTTGACTTTATTAATCCACATTTTCTCAAATTCTTTTTGTTTGGACATTGAAGATATTTTGTTAGGGTTAGGCAACAGATTCTCCATTATTGTGTTATCTGTAGCTTTAAATATATCAACAAGCATTTCATTAGGTAATTTTTTATTTTGATGTTTTGATTTCATTTTAATATATATTTAGAATATCACAGAAATTGCTAAAGAATAAAATTCTTTTAAAAATTAAAAATTGAGTTAATTTCTTTCCAGGTCTTCAAATATTAACTAAGTTTAACACAAAAAGGTGTGCGGACATATATGAAAGGACATATCGGTATTGGTGTGACAAAAATAATTTCTTGAGTGTTTATGTTTGTTCTAAACCATAAAACTCTATTATTTAATGGGTATGGAAAAGACCAGTGACCGTCCAAAATCAGTAGGGTAACTGTTCTTACGTTGAAATATCCCGATATGTCCGCGTGCCAACAAAAATCCATTTAACAAAATTTAAAAATAAAAAACGTGATGGAACACTTGATTATTAAAAGATTTTCAAAACAAAATTTATTCTTTTATTTAAAATTCTGTTTACAAAAATTATTTAAATATCTCGAAAAAATTTTTTGAGCTTTTTTAAAAAAAAAGAAATATTAACCGTTCTTTCTTGTTTAATTAAACAACCCTTCAATTTTCTCATTTTTTATTTAAAAAATAAATACAAAACTATCAGAGCTTCCACCCCATTCACACAAAATTGAAAAAATTTTGCTTTTCGTCGCAACAAAATTTTAGCTTGCAATATTCTGAGTCTTTCACGTCTATCAATTTCTTCTCTTAACTGTATAAGTTTAGTTTCAAGTAAGCCAGCTTTCTCCATGAAAGTCTTAAAAAATATCAAAAAATAAATATTTACTTTGTAATGTTAAACCGGACAGATCTCCTTTTTCCGGACAGATCCCCTTTTTCCTCCCCAATTTCCCCCCTATATTTTTGAAAAATAGTCCTACTTTACCCTTTCTTCCAACCAAATTGCCTTTCTAATTTTTGCCTACAATCAAACAAAAATAATTATTTTTCATATTTTATTTCCCATTTTTTGGATGAAGGAAAAAGTCCGACCATTTTTCAAAAATATAGGAGGAAAATTTGAGAGGAAAAAAGGGGGTCTGTCCGATCCAATAAACCTCATATAGCCGAACACTTTCTCTTTCTTTAAGGATTGATAACTAAAAATTTTGGAAAAAAATTAAAATTTTTTTAAAAAATAACCAACCCATCTTTTCTGAAATTCTTTTCCAACAAATGTAGGAATTATAGAGGAACAAGTTAAGTAAACCAGCACTTGATTACTCCACATTTTCTCAAATTTTTTATGTTCTACCATTGAAGGACCATTATTTCTGTCAAATTTTGATAATATTTCTTCTAATATTACACGTTCTGAAGCTTTAAATATATCAACAAGCATTTCATTTGGTAATTTTTTGTGTTGAAGTTTTGATTGCATTAGTAAAAGTTTAGGTAATTCTAAAGAACTTTTTGGATTTTTCTTTCAAAAAATTCGATAAATAAAAACTATTATCAGTAGAAGTTGTTAAGTATTAATTTTAATTTACAAAAAGTCTCCAAAAAATATCTACTAAAAGCTTGAACAAAATTTAAAATAAAATTAAAAGTGTTCTAAAAACACTTAAATATTTTGAAATATTCAAAACAAAAAATTATTTATTTATTAAACATAAATAAATTTATAAAGAACAACGCTGTTCTAAAATAATGTTTAAAATTATTTAAATGTCTACAAAAAATTTTTGAGCTTTTTAAAAAATCAAATTATTTACCCGTTTTCTTGTTTAAATACAAAAACCTTCAATTAATTTATCTCTTTGTCTTCTGATGTAACAAAATGTGAACGAGTACGTTTAGCAATTGGACTATTCTCCTCCATTTCCTTTTCAGCCTTTCGTCGTTTAATAATTTTTGCTTGATTTTTCTCGAGTCTTTTTGTATGTTTTTCCTTAAATTATAAAATAACAAAAATTATTTAAATTAATTTACATTTAATTTTTTCCTTTTTTCCTCAAAAAGTTTAGCAATTTGTTTTCTTAATTCACACGTTTCGTCCTCAAGTAAATCCACCTTTTCTTCAAGCTGTTGCTCTTCTTTTTTCAAACGCTTAAATTAAAATTTATTTTAAAATATTTTTTCTTAAAAATAACCTCAATTTTTTCAACAAATTCTCTTTCCTCGCGGATTAATGACTAAAAAATAAATATTTTTTTAAAATTCTTTTTAATTTAAATTTACCCATATTTTTTGACAATTTTCCCCAATAAATAAATAAATAATAGAGGAAGAAGTCAACAAAATATTAACTCGATTAACCCACAATTTTTGACATTCTTTTTGTTCTCCGATTGATTTTTGTTTTTTGAAAACTTTAGATAATTCAATTATTTCCCCATCAATAGCTTCGAATATATCAACAAGCAATTCAAGTGGTAAATTTTTGTTTTGTTGTTTTGATTTCATTAATAACGTCATAAATTAGAAGGAACTACTGAAAATGCGGATAACGTTTTACTGTCTTTCTTAAATAAAATCCAGTCATATAAACGACGGCAAAGTAGAAAGTTTGATAAAATTGTTTAAAAAATCTAAAATAAAATCAAAACGTTTTAAAACGCTTAAAAATAATCAAAACAAAAAATCATTTATTTTTAAATTAATAAATTAAAAAAATAATACTTATCCCTGATTGTCTCCAAACATTTTCCTTTCTCCCTTACTTTTTAAATTTTTGTCTAATAACAATAAAATTAATAAATTTTCTGCTTCAAGAAATTATTTGGATATTTAAAACCAAAACAATTAAGAGGATGACAAAGAAGCAAAACCCAACACTTTTAGCGACACAGGCAAAAATCTTTGCATTTTCACAGGAATCGAAATCTTCAAATTTTAAATTAATCCTCTAAAATGAAAAGGAAAATGCGATGAGTCAATAAAATATTTAAATGTCTCGAAAATAAAGTCAAAAACAATTAAAATTCACACGTTTTCTTATTTAAATAACAACCTCCAATAATTCATTTCTTACTTTCTTTGTCATTTGATGAAACATAATGGGAACGAGTACGTTTTGCAATTGGTCCATTCTCATCAATTTCCATCTCATTGCCAGCTTTTCTATGCTTTTTAATTTTCACTCTAATTGTCTCAATTCTTTTCCTTTGTTTTTCCTTTAATTTTAATTTTCAAATAAAAATTATTAAAAATTAATTACAATTAATCGCCGTCTTATTTCAATGAGTTTAGCAAATTTTTCTTCAAGAAACTCTTTTTCTTCTCTCAAATGCTTAAATTAATTCCTTTTAAAAAATCTTTTAAAAACAACCTTAACCATCTCAATACGCTCTTTTTCCAACCGGATTAACGCCTAAAAAATATATTTTTTAAATCTTTTTCATTTAAATTTACCCATATTTTTTGACAATTTTCCCCAATAAATGTATAAACAATAGATGAAGAAGTTAACAAAACTTTAACATGACGAAATAACATTTCACATTCCTCACAAACTTTAGATGATTTCAATATTGCCCCTTCTGTAGATTTAAATATATCAACCAGCAATTCAAGAGGTAATCTCTTATTTTTTGATTGCATTATTAAAATATAAGGAAATGCTGAAAATGTGAACGGCTTTTTGTGGTCTTTTTTAAATCAGGCTCGGTCATAAAATAAGCGAGTCCACAAAAAGCCATCAACAAAATAAGCTTAAAATAAAATCAAAGCACCCTTTAACACCTATATAAATATTCAAAAAGAATTCAACCTCAAAATTATAAAAAATAATTCAGAGAAAATTTTTATTTAAATAAAAATTATTTAAACACAAATATAATATTTAAACAGACTGAACAATTTTCCGAAAAAATACCAAAAAAAAACTTTTAAATCTTCACTTTTTACTTAAAATTTAAACTTCACAATTTTCTTTTCATCTTTACTTGGCTTCTTCATGTGATGAAGCTGAAGGAGAACGTGAACGGCTTCGTTTTGGTGCTGGACTTCCTTCTTCAGCGCCATTCTTTGCTGAAAAATAAAAAATAATTTGGAAAAAAATATAGAAAAAACCTGGAGTTGAGTTACTACGAGAACGTGAACGACGTTCAGATCGCGAGCCTGAACGGTGTGGTGAAGGAGAACGACGAGCAGAAGTTGAACGGCGTGCCGAACCAGAACGGCTACGAGAACGTGAACGGCTGGGGGAGCGGCGACGTTTGCCTCCATTGTCTTCAGAATCGTCAATTAATTTAATTCGACGGCCGTTAATTTCTTTTCCTAAATAAAATTTTTTTTTTAATTTTTAAACTCAAAAAAAAACCTTGAAATTTTTCCATTGCACGACGCAAATCGTCATGAGTAGCGAAACAAACATTTGCCTGATTACGAACTCGTTTGTGGGCTTCAGCATAGGTAACTAAAACGCAGAATTTTACATAAATTCAAAAAGTTTTAAAATATTTAAAAATACCGGAAAGTTCTCCTAATAACAAAATTTAATTTATAGAATTTAGAATAGGTTTAATGCCGCCCGGTCTCTAATTTAGAAACCTAAAAAGAAGTTTCCGGAAATTTTTAAATATTAATTTTAAAGAAAGAACAAAAAAAGCACCGCCTCCTTCACCTTCGCCAGTCCCGCGGAACATGTCTTTCAAGTCCTTAAATTAAAAAAATAAATTTTTTGAATTAATCAAATTTGCTTAAAAGGAGAAAAATTCCTTTTTTTTAACGAACCGAACAGATTTTTACTTCAATTAAAAATTAATTTTTCCTTTCATTTTTAAGTCCAGCAACAATTGTGTGTTTGCCTTTCCAACCAAAAAATTTTCAAATCACACAAATTTTTGAGAAAAATGAAAGAAAGAGTATGAGGAGAGAAGACTAGGCGGGCCAAATTTGCAAAAAATCCAAAAAGTCAAAATTTTGCCAAATGCCAAAATTGTGCAACTTTTTCATTTTAATGCCAAAAAATTTGTGTCCAATGGCCATCAATTAGAAAAATTGTTTCCAAAAGGCAGACCAAAAAATTCGGTCCAAAGAAAGTTTGTGTGGGGGCAAGAGAAAGTCCTTTTGGCAAGAGAAAAGTCCTTTTTCGCCATTTTTATGTGTGGGCCAAATCGCCATTAGAATTTAGGCATAAATTCAAGGTTTGCCGTATTTATTATTCCACCTACTTAAAAATTTATTTAATTTAAAAAAATGAGATTCTGAGATCATAAAAATGTTTCGTTCTACCCCAAAAACGAAACATAAAAAATTTGGAAAAATTTTCAAAAAAAAATTTTTATACGAACCTGCCAAGAAAAACGAGTAGACAAATTTTGTACCAACATTTTGTGACGAGTCTCGCGTGGTGGAGGAAAACGTCCATTAGTACGACCTTCACGCCGAAAGTTTTGGCCACTATTTTTAAAAATAATTTTTGAAATTTAAAAAGAGTAAAACCTTCTGTATCCGCCACCCCGATTGTCATAACCTCTGTTGTCATATCGATTGTTCTCATTACGGCCAGATGTGCCTAAAAATGATTGAAAGTAAAAAATATATACAAAATGGCTAAATTAGGAAAATTGAATGTCTGCTATAAAAGAAATCGTCCGTTAATTTAATCCGCAAAAACAAATAATTCTCCGATGAATAGAGAAAAAAGTCGGGGTTTGGGTCTGTTTCAAAATTTTCTTCGGATCGGGTCTAGGGTAAACGGCCCACCCTAATGTGCAAGCCTTAAAAGTCAAAAATTCCAAAAAAAACTTACGACGAGAAATCTCTACAACAACTCGGTGCCCACAAAGTTCACGGCCATTTTGCTCATAGACAGCATCATCAGCATCGCGTGAGTCATCAAACTCCTCAAAATTAAAAATATTAAAATAAAAATAAACAAAAATCAAACCACAAATCCAAATCCATTTTTTAACATAACATCTCGTATTTTGCCAAATCCTTTGAAGAAATGCTCCAAATCGCGTTCAGTGGCACGAGACGGAAGATTTCCAATATAAACTCTAGACATAGGCATTATTCTTGTATTTCTAAAAGCTTTTTAAGGTAAAATAAATATAAAAATTGGTGTAAATATAACGGCTTTTCCGCGTACCTTTCCGCGTTCTGCGTACTTTTCCACCTTCAATTATCCTTTGGTTTTAAAAGTTACTTTTGGATTATATAAAATTGTATGGGTTAGGGATATATAAAAATCATCTCTGTGGGATCCAATAAGTCAGGATGAGTCTAAATTATGTTATTGAATCCAAAAGTAACTAGTAAAACCCAATATTAAAAGAATGGAGAAAAATGCAAGAAAACGGATTTAACTATTAACTTATTTTAGTTAATATAAACTCGTTTTCAGCCATTAATTGTGGTTTAGTCGATAAATCCAATAGCAGGATTAAAATTGTTGGGAGGAAAAATAAAAATAACATCGAGAAATATAAGAGAGGCACAGCGGGTTAAAGAGGACATTGTGTAGTGTCTAATTTTCTCTGCTTCTCTAACTTTCTCTCATTTAAAGCATTACTCTCGCATGCAGATTTTAGGTTGCCAACTTTGATCGAGTCCATTGGACGTTCTAGATGTTATTTTTTAAATCTTTCTGTTATTTTTATTTTTCATAGTTTAAAGAAGCTTTTGGCAAAAAATTATTAATTTATCTGGTTTTTAGCAAAAGTTACTGGTGTTTATATTTTAATAATTTTAGTGACAGATTTTTAAGAGTTACTTTAAGAAAAAAACAAAGATTTTGGTGCCATCCGATGCAGCTCGACGAGGTACGTCGAATGATACCAAAATTAACTTTGTAGGACCAATTTAGGCTGAGATATAGGCCCACAAAAGTTGAAAATTTTTGGGGTTAGAGTTTTGGACATGAAAATTATAGCTCGATCGAAAGAGCTCGTCGAGCTGAGTCGATTGACACCAAGATCAGCTTGACTGAATAATTCCTAACAAAGTTATGTCCTATAGATGAATGAGCCTTGCGTTTATATGGAGCAGTTTCGCGAATAAACACGAATAAACAGGCAGGTCTGTCAACAGAGTTAACCCGCTGTGGAGAGGGAATGTGGTGAGTATACAGTATGCCTCAAAAAATTATTGATTTTTATCGCATGATGACAGATTTTTTTGGAGGTACTATGAGGAAGAAATGATTAAAATTGAAATAGAAAAGAAAATATTTAAAATAAGAAAAGCCAACCGCAAATTAAATTAAATTAAAAAATGAAAAAGAAGCACACAAAATACAAAAATAAAAAATTTTAATAATTAGAAATTTAAAAGTAAACTATTTTTGGCATTATGTTTATTTAAAATGAAAAATGACAATTTATCCCTTGCGAAAATCGTTTTTTGATAAAGCGGATAAGCTTCTTTCTTTTTTTTATAACTCAAAGAGTTTCTAATCGTTTCTTAAGATTTTAGTACCATTTTGTAGAGAATTAAATTCTCTACAAAATTAGGTAGAAACTCCAATTTTTAAATGAATAACAAAAAAGTCGTAGTTAAAAAACATCAATTTTTAATGATTTTTGGCTTAATATTTTCTTGTTTTCTTCTTTTTAGTTAAAATATGGAAAAAATTAATCTAGAAACTAATTCTTTAGTAAATAATTTATCAGAAACAATTACAACTCCTCGCAAAAAGGATGATTTTTATATTTTGGCTGAACTTGGGGAAGGTTTTTCTTTTTAATTTTTTTTCTTTTAATTTTCTAAAATAATTTTAGGTTCATATTCTACAGTTTATTTAGCATCAGAAAAGACGTCTAGCAATAAATTTGCAATTAAAGTTTGTTCAAAAAGGAAAATTCAACGAGAAAAGAAGGTATTTTATTTGATTTGTTTAGTTTGATAATTTACTCTGTTGGGGATTTTAAGATTAAATTCTCTAACTAAGTCATTTTAATGAGAAATTATTGTTAAAGGATATGAGAAATTTTTTTGAGGCAAAAATTCCTTACAAAATACCACAAATATTTAAATTTTCGGTAAACTGTTTGTATGCCGTAGGGGAAATAGAGTAAAGTTGAGAAGGGAAACAACATCTAGCCATTTTTGATACTTTAGGGAGGGATAAAAATGGGGAAGGAAATTAAATTTTGCCAAATTTTCAGTTAAAAAATTTCAATAAAACCTTTAAGGTTCACCAAATATTTCGAGAACGTGATATTCTTCGCCTTCTTTCAACCCCGGAACATTCACATCCCTTCATTACCCGCCTTTACTGCACATTTCAAGATTCTGATTGTCTCTATTTTGTGTTAACTTTGGCAGAGAAAAAAGATTTGTTGGCAAGGTTAAAAGCTTCTGGTGGGTGTTTAGACTTGGAAAAGACTCGTTTTGTGATGGCTGAACTTTGCTTAGCTTTGTTACACATTCATGAATTAAATGTTGTACACAGAGATGTTAAACCTGGTAAAGGAATTTTTTAAATGTATTTTTATTGAAAGGGTGGAAAAAATTAGGAAGGGGGGATGACTTTTTAATTTTGATTTTGTTCTAAAAATTTATAGGTGAAATTGTTTATAGGCTAGTCTTATGTCGTGGTTCTCTTTCTATTGCTAAATTTTTTAGAAATCATTTTACTAATAAGCTTTCCAACAATCAGACATAATTTTTTAAAAATAATCTTTTTAAAATAAAATAGCATGACGCGGGTCAGATTTTCAGATTTCTAGGAGTATAAAGAAAACCTGTCATCCCCCACTACATTTAAATATTCAAACCCACCCCCCCCCCCCAACTAATTCCTAATTTTTTCGAAAATATTTTGCTTCGTAAAAATGGCCATATTCTTCTCTCTGATTTTGGTTGTGCTAAATTAATTAATGAAACTGCCAACTTAAACGAAAATAATAATATTAATACAAACAAAGATGTAGAAGAACCACAACAATCGCCCGAAGAAAGGAGGCGAAATAAAGAGAAAAGGCGTTGTTCTTTTGTTGGAACTGCTCAATACGTCAGTCCTGAGGTTTATTTTAACTTTTACGAGTTTTTATTAAATCACCCATTCTTTTAATTTTTATCATTTCTTTCATCTTTCGCTCTTGCCCTCCTGATAATTTGACATTTCTGAATTTCTTATTTTTATTAGATGCTTAATGGAGAGCCGTCAACTCCAGCTTGTGATTGGTGGTAAGGAAAGTTCTTTTTTCTTTTTAAATTTAATTAATTAAAAAAAGGTCTTTTGGAATAATTTTATTCGAATTATTATCTGGTCAACGTCCATTTAATGGAGAAACAGAATTTCTTTTATTTCAACAAATATTAAAATTAAATTATAAATTTCCTTCAAATTTCCCTTCAGAAGAAGCAAAATATTTAATTGAACAAATTTTAATTTTAAATAAAAATAAAAGAATTAATGGACTGAAAATTAAAGAAAATGAATTTTTTAAAGAAATTAATTGGGAAATTTTGACCAAATTTAAATCGCCTTTATTTGATGTAAATGAAGATTAATAATTTTTTGTGCGTCCTTTAAAATTTTGAATACATTTGGACTTTAATTAAAATTAGGATAACAACCCGACCTCCGAAACCCCGACGAATTTTTTGGCAAACCCCCCGACCCGAACTTCGAAGGCTCTAACACGACAAACCCCGATCCCTGACGCAAAACCCCGAATCGGGGTCTGGGTTAAAATATTTATATACCCTTAAAGATGAACTCTTTTGGGAATTTTTGGATATTTTTATTACCAAGGTACCTGTTATCGATATATTTTTCTCAAAATAGAAAAGTTGAAAATACATATAGGTGGATATTTCTTTCCTACAAATAAGTGATTTTTTATTTTTTTGATCGTTTGGCGAAGTTAGGTTCGAGTCCATTTAGGGGGTAATAGTTTGGAAGTTGCCCCACTTTTTTCCTTTCTATTTTTACTAATTTTCCTTCGTCAATTGACATTAAAATCAACGAAAACTGTCTTAAGTGAACAAAGTTGTGCCCGTTTATCTTTTTCCCTTGCATTGTCACAAAAAGTTTCCCCAACGAGGAACAAAAAATTTATTCGAAAATCAAATTTACATACAAAACAAATTTACAACAAATCTAATAGAATATATTATGAGACATATGTACATATTACACACAAGGAAATTTAGGAAATATACAACATATAAATGAATGCAAGATAACAACAAAGGAAAATATGAGTTTAGATTAGAGTTGCACCCCGACCCCGTACCCCGAACCCCGACCCCCGTTCCCGAAAGATTTTTCCAAAATTTCCCCGACCCGAACCCCGCCCCGAAAAAAATGAAAACCCCGTCCCCCGACCCGAAAAAGTTTCGGGGTTTTCGGGGTATACACCCCTAAAAACGCCATTTTTAAGGAGAATTTAAAGAGAAAAATTTTAGAAACTTCCTCCCAATTTGCTTTGCTTTTATTATTTTTGTAAGAAAATTGAATGAAATATCAATATTGTATTTCCATATTAACTAGCCGACTTGTGGTTGAGTGGTTTAGTCGTTGGTTTTGTCTATATTTCTATTCATATAGGTTAGGGTTCGGATCCAAATAAGGAGAACCCGTTTGTTTTGTTATTTTTCTTTACAAAAACAAGCGTTAAATTTTAATTTTAAAAGGTTAATTCTATTTTTAAATATTATCAAAATTTTTAGTTTAGTCTAAAAATTCTAAAATTTTCGTCTGTGGCTCTAAAAAAACTAGATTCTATCCCTTGAACCACCCTTAATCCTTCGAAACCCTTATATCAGCAGATATGTCAGTTAATCTCTATAAATCTTCCATAATCCGCCCAAATTTATTTATTATCCCAGATAATTATCTCCCCAGATTAAAAACTAATAAGAGATCCGTAATACTTCTATATCCTTCTAAATCAATGATATCCCTTGAGACCAACAAAGATCACTCCAGATCCTCTTGCATCCCTAGATATACCATTTAATCCCTAAAATCCCACTTAATCCCTTCAGATCCGCTTATATCCCCAGATAAACTCTTTAATCCCTTCAAATCCAATTTAATGTCTCAATATCCTACTTAATTTTTGAAAAAATTAACGAAAATATGCCAAAATCTAATTATTTTTTAACATTTTTTTCTCTAAAATTTTTTTTTACAAAAACCCCGTACCCCGACCCGAACCCCGACCATATTTTGGTCCCCCGACCCGTACCCCGCCCCGAAACAATTCGAAAACCCCGTACCCCGACATACCCGCCCCCGAGCGTTCGGGGTGCAACCCTAGTTTAGATATTATATTCAGTTCATTTTTATCTCTTTAGAATTCTTCCCCCTCTGTGGCAGGTTCCTCCTCGGCCGTCTCCACCGGTTCTTCAGTGCGCGTCCCACCATCCCGACTCGGTGTTGCAACCAGTTTCTTTCCCGTATCATCAACCGGAAATGGCTCGGACTCAACGTCAGGCACATGATATACTGAAAATTAAAGAATTACCCAAAGACTCTTTCACTTGTTCAAGTGAAACCTCTCTTCGGCTTCCGTGGTTCTTCCTCCTCAATTGGAATGAGCTTACACCGCTTATTCCAGAAGCCTTTAGCGCGCGTAAGTATTTCACACACGTCCTCTGCTGCGGTCGAGATCAGCTTCAGTGGAGGGGCATCCCGTTCGAGCTTGAGTACCACATTTTTCTTTTCAGTGATACTCTGTCGGATAGCCTGTAAATTAAAGGATTGAAAATTGTTTACAAAATTACTTGTAAAAATAACACCTTTTTAGCTCCAGAGACGTCGTCTTTCACTTCCTTGCCGTTAACGTCCCGCAATATGTCGCCTGGAAGGATGTACTGCGCAGCTACACTGCCTGGCTCAATGTACGAGACGATGATATTAGATCCCTGGAATTGAAAGCTATTATTAATGACAAGCCCTCATTACTCAGTCAATTACCTTCTTCTCCACAATTATCCCAATTGGAAGATCTTCTCGCCATCTGATCTGCAGCTGGATGAAATTGTGGCTCGGGTTTCGCCTGATTTGTGTGACCTTGAGGTTGATCATTCTGAAGTAGTCGTCCCTGCGGAAACGGATGAACAAAGGTTTGGGTTCAGCGCCAGAATACTGGGTTGCTGCCGTGAAGTCTTCTGCCGAGTTTATGGCCTGAAAAATGGACGTTTAAACCGAGTATTACCCTAATAATCGCAGAAGCTTACCCGTTTGTCAATCTGCAAGATCCAGTCTCCAGGGAACAACCATCCAAAGAAGTAGGAGAAGATGTCGATCTTCTGTATCCGCGGCGGCGAGCTCCCACTGAAGAACGTCAGTCCCATGTCCGAGTCTTGGATCTCGATGGTATCCTCATGCTCATGAATGTACTTCTTAGCTGAAAGAGAAAAAAAGTTAGTTTAGGAGACAACCCTTGTATGATACATCCTCGTTTCTCGGCCATTGCACTGAGACGCCAAAGCAAGAGTGAGCAGCACAGCGACGAACCAAAAGCGGCCTTTAGTTGAATTGAGCACAGCGTTGTCGTCACGAAGTGCAGTGAGTTGTAGTGTTGGTTTATGCATAATTTATTAAGGCGCTTTTATACTAACCTAAAATTCCTAATAAAACAAATTCTTTATAAAATCTCCTGTCTAAGCACATCTCGAAAGACTTTTAATTTCTTGGGGGAATTTTATGTGGGAATTCTTTCTTAACTGGTGGGTAAACTCCACTATTTTTTATACCAGGTGTGGGTTGAGTTAACCGTAAATTTTACAATTGTAATTTTTTAATCGAAACTTCGGAATTTACTTGGTCGAAATTCTATTTCCAAATACGCTTAGAATTTTAAATAATTTTCTTTGAATATTAAATGTTAATGTATTTTTTAAATTTAAAACAAAATTGAAAAAAATCTAATAATTTTTATTAAAAAATATAAAATAAAAGCTGATATAAATTTAAAAATATTAATAAAGAAGCGGCGGTAACAGAAAAATTATCGAAAAAATAACAGAAAAAAACATCCGATATTTAAAAATACTTATGGGGGTGAAAAAAGATTATAAAGTTTTTTACAGCTTTTTAAACGCATAGGTTTTCACGTTGGCTTAAAAAGCTGTAAGTTGGAGATGATTGAATCAAATAAAAATTGGGATTGTTAAAATAAAAATATTAAATTATGTAAATATATAGAATACATACTTAGGATAAATAGAATATTTTTTTGCTAAAATTTTATGTGCTAATTTTTGTAAAAATAAAGAGATTTTTTTGTTTTAATTGCTTGGAATTGGCGGCAGAAAAAATAATTTTAATAAAAATTAATGATTTGCAGTTAGTGTTGTTGTTGCCATAGCTTTCTTGCCTGGATTCTGTTGCAAATAACGTGCTGATGAAAGCCGTAACATTTGTAGCTGTCGAATTGCTGCTGTAGCGTTATATGCCTTGCGCCATTTTCTTAAAGAAAAAATTGAAACAAAATAAAGTTTTAGTTTTACTAAAAAAGTTTGCTTCAGGTTTTATTAAAAATAAAACTTGTTAAAACTTGTATTAATAAAACTTGATTCAAGTTTTATTAAAAATACAACTTGAAGCATAAAATACCCTAAACTTTTTACAATTTGTTAATAAAACTTGAAACGAACTACTTAAAAATAAAGCTTTGTTTCTTGCTTCAAGTTGTAATATTTTTATTAAGAGGCCAAACTTAAGTTTTCAAGTTTGCAAAATTAATAATTTATACCTCTTCGCCAAACTTCTTTTTAAATGTGTTGCTACAGTTCCGTGAATGTCTTTTGTTCTCGCTGTGTTTCCACTAATCCAAGGATGTGCTAATGCTTGCTCACAGGAATACCTCTGTTCAGGGGAGCAACACATTAGATGAGAAATAAAATCTTTTGCTGAATCGCTAATTTCGTCCCAATATGGGGAATCGAATTCATATTCCCCTTTAATTATTTGGGCAAATAAATTAGCGTCGTTTTCGTCGTAAAATGGTGGATAACCGCAGAGAAGGATGTAGGCGATTACTCCTGAATGATTTTTTTAAAAAATGAAATTTTCTCTCAAAACTCACCGATAGACCAAACATCCACAGCTTTTCCATAAGGTTTCTGCTGAAGAACTTCGGGCGCCACATATCCCGGTGTCCCACAAGCTGTGGCCATAATTCCGGACTCCTCAGTTTTTGAAAGGCCAAAATCTGATATCATAATTTTGGAATCATCGTCTTGGTTAAAATAAAGTAGGTTTTCTGGTTTCAAGTCGCGGTGGACTACACCGTTGTCGTGCATGAATGAAACTGCTTCAAGCACCTGAAAATATAATCTGTTTATTTTAATTTTTCAGTTTTTGAAATGCCAAAATCCAGATTTACTCAACTCTAACCTTAATTTAGGATATTTCTTCTTAATTTGGTTTAACCACAAAGAGGATGACTGAGCAATACCTTAACCAAGAAAACCTCCATTCAAGGACACCCTCATTATAAGATATAATTCTTTCAGCTCTAAGGATTAGGCCTGCCGGCCCGGTCCGAAAGATCGAGTCGGGCATCGAATTTTGGCTCGAAAAACTCGGTCGGGCCGGCCCGAAAAAAATGACTCTAACGTCGGCCCGACTCGAAAACGTCAACCCTACTAAGGTGTAAAAGTATATCCTTCCAACTTCACATATTTTTTTCTATTTAATTTTCCAAAATTATTTTTTTTATTTTCAATTCCATTTTTATTTAATTATATTTATCATTTAGATAAATATATTTATTTATTTTTTTTTATTTAATTACACAATTTCCTTTTTCAATGAAACCCTTTTTGGTTTAATCAAAAAAAGAGAAAAATAATATTTTAAAATATTTTTTTATTTATTTAGTTTCAATTTGCGTCAAACAAAAATAATATAAAGCTAAAAAATGGTAAAAGAAAACCGCGCGATTTTTCTGTTTTTATTTAAATGGAGATTAAACAAAAAAATAAGGAAAGGATAAAAAAATTGAAGGATCATTTTTTAAATGAGTGGTAAACTTGCGGACAGTCTTTTGCGGATAAAAACGGAAATAGTATGTTCTGTTAAGAGTTTGTTTTTCCGGAAAGTTTTAATTAAAACTTGTTTTTCTCTTTAAACTTTAAGTTTAAACTTGTGTTTTTCCGGAAACTTTATTTAAGTTTAAACTTGCTTTTCGTAAAGTTTTACTTCAAACATGTTTTTCTTTTAAGTTTAAACTTGTGTTTTTCCCCGTAAAGTTGTTTAAAGTTTAATTTATTACAAATAAGTTTTAATCCGTAAATAATATCCGCAAATATCTTTTACGTCCGCTTTTTCGTGTCCACAATTTTATAATCCCATTGGAAATTTTTTTAATCTTTACTGTTTTAGTATTTACGTTAATAGACTTTTTAAAAATAATTTTAAATATCGAAAAGAAGATTGGAAATTTTTTTATAGTTTAGATTGACAAAATATATTCATTGACGCAATTATGAGGTAACAAAAAAATTCCGGTACAAAAATAGTTATTAATAAATATAGTTAACATAAAATAAAAGGAAATTAAAAAAAAAGTTAAGGCTAAACCAGACTTTAAAGCACAATTTGAATTTTAAACACGCGAATATTTCTTGTACTTTACAAATATATTTTAATTGGTCTAACATTTTTAAAATGTTGTTTGGAAAAAAAGAAATTTAAATGTAGTACCTGTCTAATGAGATTGGAAGCGTCCCTTTCTGTATAAGAGCCTTTGGCAACAATCCGATCAAAAAGTTCGCCCCCTGTTACTAATTCCATCACCAAATAAACATAATGTTTCTCATCAAAAGTATCATAAAGTTGAACAATGTTGTTGTGACGTAATCTTAAAAACAAGTTTTAGTAGGGAAAAACAAGTTTACAAACATTCCCGGAAAACATGTTTAAAAACATTCCGGAAAACAAGCCTAGAAACATTCCGGAAAACAAGTTTAAAACATTCCGGAAAACAAGTCTAAAAACATTCCGGAAAACAAGCCTAGAAACATTCCGGAAAACAAGTTTAAAACATTCCGGAAAACAAGTCTAAAAACATTCCGGAAAACAAGCCTAGAAACATTCCGGAAAACAAGTTTAAAACATTCCGGAAAACAAGTCTAAAAACATTCCGGAAAACAAGTTTATTTAATGTTTTTCTGAAAAACATTTTTATGGAATGTTTGTTTCCATCAAAACAAGTTTAAATAAAACAACTTCCGGAAAAACTAGTTCTATAAAAACACACTCCCCATAAAAACACGCTTAATAAAAATACTTTCCGGAAAAACATATTTAAATATTCGGGAAGTAAATGTTCTCCGGAAAACAAAGTTTATATTTACTTTTTTAGCACTCGAATTTCATTTTCTAACGAGTCTTCCTTTCCTTTTAATGCCTTTTTGTCAATGCATTTAATTGCAACAAAAGTACCAGGTTCAAAACGACATTCCGCAAGGAAAACTTTAGAGAAGGCGCCAGTTCCGAGTAAATCTTTAAACTCATACCTTTAAAAAATAATTAAATTTTCTTCAGAAATTTAATTTCTTTTTCTACCTGTCTCTAATATTATAAGCCGTCCCTTGCACTTCAATATTTGAAATAGCCCTTCTATGCTCAGCAGCAGACAGCGCTACTGCCGGATTTGTTCTCCTCGGAAAGAAAGGCATTGTATTATTATTATTGCTATTATCTTCGTTTTGTTGATGATTTATATTTTGATGACAATTAATCCCAAAATTATTATTTAGCTGATTCGGGCTTCTAGCAACTTCCCCTAATTGTTGAGGTTGGAAATGGTCGTAGTTTTCACAGTGATATTCTGGTACAAATAATTTTCGAATTGGAGTGCCTTAAAAATTATAATTTTAATTCCGGAAAACATGTTCCGGAAAAACATGTTCCGGAAAAACATGTTGTGAAACAGATAAAATAATTCCGGAAAACATGTTAGACATATATAAAAGTTCAGAAAAACATTAAACATTTTCTTTAAAACAAAGTTTGTAAACCTTAACAAAACATTACTAAATATAATATTCAAACATCACCCTTCCGGAAAAACATGCTAACAAAACATTAAAAGAAAAAAACATTTTAACACTCAAATCTCACTTTTTAATTTAAATTCCAACAAACATTAATTATTTTCCCCCCAATTTAGTCCAATCTCAATTAAATACCCCCCAATAAATATATTTTATTAGCTTATACATACTAATGTTTGTCAATTTATTATACTGACGAGAATTAATAAATAATTCCTAAAATATACTGACAATCTAATATTTATAGCAAAAAGTGCTTATTATTATACCATAAATGTAAATATAATTAAATATTAAAGAAAAATGATGTGACAAGAAAAAAGAATTTTTAAAGGTGTGGCTTCTCTTAAAACTATTTTTGTAATTTTATTAATTAAAAAGATTTTTTTAAGAAGTTAAAAGATTTCCTTGTCTGTAGGAAATGAGGATAATTCGGGATAAGGAATTTTGAATTATCTGATGTTTTTAAAAAAATCTCAATGAATTTTCTATACAAAATAGAAAAATTTTGTTAAAAAATCTTAAAGTTTGGCTGAGTTCCGGATTTTTAAAAATTTGAGTTTTTCGGCGCAGCCCCTAGGCGCAGAGAATGTTTATTTTAAAAGAAGCAAACAAGTTTAATTTAATTAACGCCAAAACATCCCTAACATGTTTTTAACATTAAAACTTGTTTTTCTTCAAAAACAACACAAAAACATTAAATATAAAAAAAGAAATGCCAAAAAAGCTGAACAATTAAATACCTGACTGTTCAGCCGTTTTCGCGTGACTGTGGGAAGTCGTTGAAATATTAACTGTTGTATTATTATTGCCTGATATTGGCACACCTGCTGATATTATTAACTGCTTTTGCTGAGGACATTGTTGTAGCAACGGTTGTTGAGGGGCGTGTTCTCTCTCTGCAGCAGTGGGAGAATGTTGGGGGGCGTTTCCATCAGAATAAAAAGAGGAATTGGAAACGTGAGAACATGAAGAAGAGATAATGGTGTTTTGAGAGGAAGAAGAGGAAGGGATGTTTGTTGGGGAAATGTTTGTTGGGGAAATGTTTGTTGGGGAAATATTTGTTGGGGAAATGTTTGTGTTGTTTGTAATGTTGTGAGGAATGTTTTCAAAACTTTTATTTATTTTTATTTGTTGTTCGTTTAAAAAACATGTTGTTGAAGACAAACAACAATTTGTTGGTAATGGGGAAATTGATGGTTGTGGAGATGATGTTTGGGGGACTGGGGAAGGCGTGGAAGTTTCAAAATCCATTTTAATAATATTTAATGGTTTTCTTCTAAAATTTAATTGACATCATTTTTTGTATTAATTTCAATTTTCTGATTTAAATTGAAAAAAAATTAAAAATTGTATTCAATTTCAATGCTTTTAATTTTATTTTTATTCAACGACCTTCGGACTAAATGAAAAAAAATAAAAAATAAATAGAAGACGGGGGATTAAGCAAAAAAACGTTTTAAAGAAGATGAGTGCCACTGGAAGTAAAAATTATTTAGTCATACTCTCCTATCAATTTCATTTTATGAAGAAAACAAAACAGAAAAAAAATATTATAAAAACATATTAAAAGTTGTTGTTTTGTTTAAGAAAATTCAAAACAATCTCAACTTTCCGGAAAACATTAAAAACATTAAAAAAGTTTACAAAATATTCCGCAAAAGTTAGAGAACATGTGTAATTTTCCGGAAAGAATAAAACTTTTCCGGAAATCAGAAAAAATACATAATTTATACATCAATTGTTTAATGCATTATTTAAGAATTAAAAATCGAAAAATAATAAATAATTTAAACAAAAAAAATAAAAATAGTAAAAATGCAAATTATAAAGGAATTAACGTAATTCCGGTAATTTTGTATTTATAAAATAATTAAATGTAAAAAATAGATAAAATTAATAGAGAGAAAATAATATGCAAGAAAAGGCTCGCGCACATTAAAAGCTAATATTATTAGGTAGTTAAATAATAAATTCATGCTATAAAAATTGTCAATAATTTCAAAATAATTAAAAAAATATTTAAAATAACAAAAATAAAATTTATCACAATTTAATGGGCATTTTAGAAGGAATTTTTTGTTTAGAAAATGATAGTTGCGTAGGTGTTAAGGGGGGGGGGAATGTAAAAAGAAAAAATAGGGAAGAAGCTATCCTTGCCAGCGGGAAAAGCTAAAAATCCAATCAATGGATAGCAAGACTCTGTTAAAAAGGAAAAATAAAATCGAATTTGGCCAATTTTCTTTTGTGAAAGGAAGGGGGGACTGCAAAAATTTAAAAAAATAAAAAGAAATTAGAGAAACAAAAAACATTGTTTGTGAACAAGTTTTGGTGAGACAAACATTGAAATAAACTTGCTAAACAAATTGTTTATCTGAACAAATTTAATAAAACAACAAAACAAACAACTTAAAAAAGTTTATTTTGTTTTACGTGTTTTTTTGTTCTATTAAAACTTGTTTAGAATAAAACAAGTTGTTTAGTAAGTTTATCTGTTTCTAAGAAATGTTTGTCTCGTTAAAACTTGTTTACAACTTTGTTTACCTAAACAAAAAAATCTATAATTTAAATGTTTAGAGTTAAAGTTTTAATGAAACAAAGTTTGCGAAAAGCTGCGAATAGCAAGTCCCAGAGGCAATTTAGTGGAAGCAAGTGTGCACTAAAAATCGATAAAAGCAAGCGGAATTAGCTGAAATTATTTTTTATTGTAGTAGCAAGTTTTTATTTAGATTTTAGCAATTTTTTAAAATTTCCGTGGAAATTTATAAAAAAAATTTTTATTTTTTGTTAAAAAGAATGCAAGAATTTAACTAACAAAATTTTACATTGAAATATCTAATTCACAAATAAAGGCACTCTCTAAATACAAATAAAGACTGATTAGGGTCCTTCCGGCGCAGTCTTTTTTTGCTACAAATACTTTCACTTAGTTTTTTAAAAATAACCGCGGCTAAAAGGCTTCAATTTAATTTATTTTAAGAGGGTTGTTGAACGGGAACATCCTTTTATCTCACCATTACTTTGTGCCGTCTCCAAGACAACAAAGCCGGCAAAAAAGGAGAAGAAAAAAGGATGTTTTAAAGAAAAGGATAAAGAAGGGACAAGAAGGGGGATAAAATATATAAAGAAAGGGAGAAACAAATTGGAGAGAAAATATTTTCTATTTAGTATGAAAAAATAATAGCAGCTGTCTCGATTATGCCAAAAAATGAAAACAAAAAGCTTAATGGGCAAAATATAAAATGGTCAGTGGTGAAAAATTAGAAAAAATGTCAAGGGAATAAAAGGTTAACGATGAAAAATTATTTAAAATGTCCAACGTGCAAAGGGTAAAGAGGGAAAAATACTCAAAATGTCAATAAATTGGGCATTTTATATATTGAATGTTTTGAAAAAGAAATGCCAAGACAGCCGACTAAAATTTTAAAGTGAAAATAAGAGATGAGAGAAAAAAAATTAAATTTTGCCATAAAAAATGAGAGAGAATAAGAGGAATGGAGAGGGCATTCTACGAAATAAGTAAAAAAAGTCTATGTACTCAGACATTCACATACTTAAGTTTTTAAAAATGAATATAAATTAAAAATTAAGAAAATTTAAGTGAAAATACATAAAAGATGAAGGAATAATTTAAGGAATATTTTTTAAAAAAATTAAAATGAAAAAATAAAAAAATAAATTTTTTCAAAAAAATAGTAGTTTATTAATCTTCAACTTGTTTGTATAAATTTAAAATTAGATAATTTTATAAAAAAAAATTTAAAATAAAACACTTTAAAGATAAATTAATTGTGTAAAGTTTAAATTTATAATCAGTATAGTTTTGTTTTTAAATTTTAAAATTTTGCGTTGTATATGGTGTTTTTGGCATTATGTTTACTTAAAATGACAATTTATCCCAAACTTTTTTGTTAGTTTTGTTCCGGGTTTTCTTTGTTTTTTGTTGTGTTTATTGTTGTTTTAGAATGTTTTAATTCTTAATTTTGTTGGTTCTCTTTTGTTTTTAATTAAAACTCTTTTAGATATTCAATGAATTCAAGTTTCAACGGCAACATAAAACTTAATGATTCAAGTCAAAATATAAGGTATAGACCTGAATCGTCGCCGCCTGAGGAATTGATGGGTTTAAAATTTAAATTAATTTTTTTATTTTAAATTTTTAGATTGTTTGTTGCCTGATGCTTCTACTTCTACTAGTCAAAATGTAGATACTCGTGGACCTAAAGTTTATCCTATAGGTTTTTTATTTAATTTATTAAAATTATTTTCTCTCAACAAATTTTTAGATCAAGATGTACCGAAGACTTTCTTTCAAACTCCAAAATCCGTTGTTAGACCTACACTTCCTGACCAAATTTGTGTGAACAGTGAAATGTCAAAGTTCCATAAACCATCTCTGCCGGTGATTAAAAAACAGCTTGAACAACTTCGAAATAAACTTAGCGAGGTTTGTTTGAAATTTAATGTTTTATCTAGGGTTTTATGCTGTTTACTCATCCTCGTCAATCCATTTTTTAAAGAGACATTAACTGAAATTTGTTAGTTTACTATATTTACCCTATTTTTCCTCATCTCTGACAGTCTTTCGCGTTTACAAAGGAAGCAATTTGCCGTAAAAGTCCACGATTGTGCCTTCTTTTTTCAGAAATTGAACAGTGGCTTCTCTTTTTTTAAACTTTAAAACGTTACTTTGGATCGGGCTACATTACTTTAGCAAACCTATCTCTTTAGACGTTAATTTTTCTCATCTATTTTTTCAGATTCCAAACGTTGAATGGAGACGTCATATTGATTATTTAATAACTTTAACTATACAACAACAATCAGATATAGATTTACTTCGTACTTGTTCTTTAGGATATGAACAATGGGCTAGTGGTCAATTAAAGAAGTTTGGCAGTTTATTGTGTGAACATGCAAATTTGACTTTTCAAAAGAAGAAATTGGAAGAACATGAAAAACTTCTAGTAAAGGAAAAGAATGTTATTGAAAGTAAAGTTGAAATTTTGGAGAAGGAAAGGAAAAGATTGGAAGGTGAAGTTAAAGACTTGAGACCTTACAAGGAAAAATATAAGGATTCGCTTAAAGAAATGGAAAGGTTTGTTAAATCGAATTTTTTTGGGAGTTTTTTAGGGTAGAATAAATTAAATGTAAGAATTTCGTGATATTTTTTTTGTCCATTATGTGTAGGGAATTTCACGGGAGAAGAATGTGTTTGGCTTTGGGTCGGGTTCCAAAATTTTTTAAGGATCGGGTTTTGTTCGGAAAAAGTCTGGCTTTAAGGTAACCCGTGACCATTTAATTTTTCAAAAAAGATAAAAGTAGTGGAGAAAAGAAAAATGTAGGGGGGTGGGGGTATAATTTTTATTTTTTTTCTAATTTTCAAGGTTAAAATCTTCTAATGAAACATTCAAAAAAACTGCTAAATTAAATGAAGAAAAATTATCCAAAACAAATGAATTGACAAAAAATCAGTCTTTAATTGAAGCTGAAAGAAATAATTTAAAAAAACAATTAGAGGATTTACAAAATAAAGAAAATGGGAAAATTAAGGAATTGGAAGAAAAATATAGTTTGGCACAAAAAAGAATAAAAGTTTTGTTGACTGAATTTAAATGTGAAGATGAAAAGAAGGATAGTTCTGACGAAAGTGCTCTTAAACAAAAAATTAGTGAATTGGAAGAAAAACTCGCTAAAGAAAAGAAATTGAGGACTATGGAAGTTAAAACGGTTTGCAAAATTTTTTATTAAAATAATTTTTGGAGAAGCTATTTTTAGTAGTTTATCAGACTTGTGGGGTTTCTAATATTTTTGATTTTATCTTCGAATCGAGAATAGAGTGCAGAAAATCTCAAGCCCGACGTTGGGTTTTAGAAAGAGGTATTCTGTCCGGTGCGCTCTTTAAAATTTACCTATACTTTTTCGTATTGTTTTTGGATCACACAACCATTTATTAACCTATTTATTGATGTTAAGGTAATTTATTTTAATAAATTGAAACATATTTTCACTTTTTAACTTTTGTTTTTTCAGAATTCTTCAAGTGAGAATAATGACCCACATGATGGTTTGTCCCGAACGACGAAGCGAGAACTTTCTTTGCGCGATGCTGAGATAAACCGACTTAAAGTTGAATGTGCAGAGAAGGCAGAGGAATTAATTGAGGTTATTTTTTGTGTTCTTTTTTATGTACCATCCTCTCTCCTATCAAAATTGCGTCCCTTCCTTGTTTTTGTATATTCCATCAGTGTAAAGGTTTAGCGGTTTTTGTATTAATCAAGAAAAGAGGCATTTTAGGACTTTTTAGATTCACGATTATTGGGAATTTTGTGGTCGGGATTTCTGTTAGTCTTTGGCGTTAATATTATAGTTAATGTTAGAGATTCAGGCAGGGGTTTATTATCTAACATTCAACTTAAATTAATTCTTATTTCCAATTCACGATTTCTAACCCAAAAATTCGAGAGTTCCCGATTTTCTGGAATCTGGACTACAGGAAGCCTTAAAGTTGACCTTAAAATCTTATTTTTACCCTTAAGGTGCGTTGCAAAATTAGAATTTTTATTCTATTTTTAAATTTAATTTAATTTATGGAATTTCAGTGTGGGTTCCCTTTTCTTTGTTTTTGGGTAGCTCCCTTACAGCTCGGTGATAGCCAACTTGTGATATTCAGTAGTTTTGCAGTTTTTAGTTATTAACGTCTTAATATACGATTATCGTGATTCAGATTTTTTGTTAAGATTTTATATCAAGATTTTTTAGTTAAAATCGCAAATTGATGAAGCAAAACATACCAAGATGGAGTTACGTGAGAAACTTAGACGCAAAAAAGAAGAGGCACAAACAGCAAGAAACGAACTCAAAGTTGAACAAGAAAAACGGGAAAGCCTTGAACAACGACTGAATGATATGGAGGAAAAACTCAAACTTAAGAGCAAATCCATGCGTGAAGATCAAGTTGGTTTATTGATTATGTTTCACTTTATCTCCTGGCGATGATATATTGCTCTAATTGAGCGATGATTTATTCTAACTTTAATTATTTCCATTGTTCTTTGCTATATCTATATTACAGCTCGGTGATAGCCAACTTGTGATCAATATCAAATTCATTCTCCATTTATACTTGTGATTAAACCCATTCAATTTGTTATTATTAGGATCAATTAAGAAAAATCTGGTGATTAACACCCACTAATTTTAAAAATTTTGCTCAAGTAAGTTGAGAAATATTAAGGAAATTTTCTGTTTAATTTTGTCTTTATTAATAAGATATATTTATTCATTCTATTTTTTATTTTTGATTTCTTAACAAGATAATGTCAATTTTTTAACTACTTATAACTGCAATCCGTTCAATTTATTATTTCTAGGATCAATTAAGATAAGCATAACAGATCTTTATGAAATTGTTCAGTTTTTTCTAAACTATTATATCGATAAGTCTATTTTTACTCGTTTCATTATTGTTTTGAATCATATACTGATCATCTAGTATTTATGAATTATCAATTTATTATTGCCTACATTATAAATGACTTGTTTACTTGTTTCATGATTGGTTTAAATCATACTGTTAGTCATTTTCATAAATATATGACAAATTAGATAAAACTAAGTAGTTCTCAAATTAAAAAAATATTCAGCTTTATTGTGTTTTCGAATACAATAAAATTTTCCTCGCCAGGAGAATTTATGTCCACTTTCAACACGCAAAAAACGTTTTTCAGAATATCGAACAAAAAAAGACTGAAACTGTTTTCCCTTCAAACAAATTAATAAAATCTAGGGTATGTTGTTATATTTTTTGGTACTATCGCATTATCCGCACCCCATTTTTTCCTTTTCCTTCCTTTTTCTCCTTCTCCTTTATAATCCTTTTAATGGTAAAATGTTAAAAAGGGCTAATATGAGAAAGTCGTCATTTTTAAGTTGTTTTTTAAACTTAGTTTCAGATCAATGAAAATTTTAATTTTCCTCAAAAGAAGCCGTACAATTTCTACAACAAGAATAGATTCTTCCTTCAAATAAAATCTGCAAATGGTCATGAAATGAAGTTGAGCTTTGGAACAAGAGTTAGATGGCGATGTCAAAAACGACCTGTCGTTCCAAATTAAAACTGAAAGCAGGAAATTTGTTAGAATGGAGTCGTATTTCATTTGTTATGGTTGTGCGTTTCCTCTGCTTTTGGGTTTTTGAAATGACATCAGGTGAATTTTTGAGCGCGAATTAGATATTTGCCCGAACACTACTGTTGATTGGAATAATTATCTACGTGTATTTGTGTCGAATACCTCTAAATAAGCCAAGATTATGCTACGTATTAGGTTGTGGCCAATTGTAAAGATTAATCATATAATTTACGGAGTGAAAACATGATTGTTGAATATATGGTGGATGGTGTTCTTTTATGTTCCAGATCATATCAAAAAACCTTAATGAAAGAGATTTTGATAATGCATGGAATACAATATTTTCTGATTGTTGGAAAGGTTACAAGCACAAAATTTTTGGAAACAGAATTACCACTTTACATCAACCATACGTATAATTTGTAAACCCTAAGCATGTAACCAATACACAGAAGATTGAACGGCTATGGGATCAGCCAAATGGAGAAATCAAGGCATCGAGGAACTGTGTTATCATGTAAAAATTTATCTGGCTGAATTTATAAAAGAATATAAAAAGAATTTTTTTGAATGGATTTCCACGAATATCTCAGAAATTTGGCCTTCAAATAAATTTACATTTATCTTTTTTAATTTCTAATTCATATAAAATTATTTGTATGTATTTTACCTTTATATAACTTTAACATTAGATGGAGAATGAGGAAAAAAGGAGAAAATGGAAAAAATTGTGGTGCTGATAATGCGACTGTACCTTTTTTATTAATTCCATTTTAAGATTAATGAAATAACAACCAAGAAGAATCTGATGGAGAAGGCTATACACCTTTTTGCTGATAAGCAATGTGGTAAATGTGTGACTTTACAAGAAGGTTATTAGTAAAATAATATAAATATAATTTAAAAATTTAGAACTTGGTGTTCTACAACGAAAATTAAATGTTTCAGTTCAACAGGAGAATCACGATGCATCAAACAATTTGTCAAAGAGCGATAAGGGTGGTTGTAAGGCAAAAGTTCACGCGGAAAAGCCTTCAGCAAAAGAGATGCCAGTCAGTATCCCTGCTAACACTATTGAAAAGGGGCAAACTTCCAAGAGAAAAGCTTCAGAGAGTGACTTAGAACCAAACAAAAAGCGACAAAAAAAGTTAGTTCTCTTAAAAATCATTGCATTAGCTGTAGACTAAGTTCGAGTATTAAATATTAAAGCATTTGTAAATGATGTCTCGCCTTAACAACTATTTAAATTACTACACGTCCGCTAATTTGCGGCCAGTTGTTTTCGCCCCGCTTTCAAATTAAATAGGTAAATATACGAGAGACGGCTAATAATGCCATGAATACTATCAATAAATGAAGCCTGCCAGAGAAGGTTAGATATTAAAAATTGATGATTTCTCTGGAAGGAAGAATAACTCTGGGAGAGAACTTCCATCTCAATTTGTCTTTGATATATAAGTAGAATTTTAGGATTCTAGAAAATGTAGAGGTTGAAGTTAGAAAAATTAGGGCTGCGTTGCAGATTGTTAGGGCTGGCGATTGTTAGGGTGTCGAAAGTAATTAAAAATTTACCCTGTGGAACCAAAATATTTGTCTTGTAATTTTTTCGCAGAAATACACTTGCATTTTTACAAAGGCTTTTTTCAAATCCTTAAATATTTTTAAACATACTCATTCACGGTACTAATTTAGTTTCCCCCCCCCCCCCCCCCCAGCCAGTTTTTTCGAAAATTATGTAAAAATGGTCAGTCTGAACAACAAATTGTAGAACTCATCGAGCTGTGTCGAATGACACCAAAATCAACAAAATCCGACTTGATTTGACCGAAATACAGACCCCTGAAAATTGAACAACCATGGGGGTGATTTTATGAAATAAAAAAAGTTTACCCAAATGATAGCTTTTTCAAAAGAGCTCGTCGAACTGAGTCGATTGACACCAAAAACAACGAAATCGGACAAAATTTGACGAAGTTATGACATTATTTAGACCTACCGGAGTCGACGATTTATGTCATATCTTTGTCAAATCAAGTCGGATTTCATTGATTTTGGTCTCATTTGACTCAGCTCGACGAGCTCTTTCGAATGAGCTATCATTTGTATAGATTTTTGTCTTTATGATTTTGTGCCCCTGTGGTTTAGGGGTCTGTATTTCGGTCAAATCAAGTCGGATTTTGTTGATTTTGGTGTCATTCGACACATCTCGATGGGTTCTACAATTGTTGTTCAGACTGACCATTTTTACATAATTTTCGAAAAAACTGGCTGGGGGGGGGGGGGAAACTAAATAAGTACCCTCATTCACTAATTGTATTTTTTTCAGGAAAAAATCCGATTTGCAAAAAGATACTCAACAGCAAAAGGTTAATCAATCGCTGTCTACAAACACATCAGATTCCCAAAAAGTTGTTCCGGCACCATTAGTTAGCAACCAACAGTCTTCTGAAAAGCAAAAAAGCATCCAAAATGAAGCAACCACAAATGTCGTTCAGGAGATCACTGAGCCGCAAAAAGAAGCCCAGCAGAGTTTTAAATCAGCAAAGACTTCTGAGCAGCAAAAAACAAAGGAGCCACCTAAAATCGCTCAGAAAACTTCTGAGCCGCAAAAGATCATTCAAAAGGACCCTCCTCAACCACCTAAGAACGTCCAAAGACTTCCTGAACCGCAAAAAATTATCCAAAAGGATCCTATACAACCCAAGAACGTTCAAAAAACAGTTGATTCAAAGAAGGATGTCCAACAGACTTCAAAACCTATTCAACAAACAACACAAGTTGCTAAAGTTATTCAGCAACAACCCACAACATCTCAAAAATCATTACCGCAAAAGCCTGTGGAACAACAACAATCACCAGGTGTTAAACAAGTTGATGCTAGCAGTATTGCTTCTCGTATTGTGACTTCATTTATGATGTAATAAGTCTTGGCTCTGGTCTAGCTTAGTAGTCCAATGAAGGTTTAATTGTCCGATGAAAGTTTATGAATCCAATACGAGTTCCAATAAAGTTTATGAGTTTTGATTGGACTCACAAACTATCATCGGAACTATTAAGCTTCCTTTGGTCTACTAAACTAGACTCCCTAATTCTTTTATTATAAAAATTATTTGTTATAGGTTTATTGGCGAACCGTGTAACGTAAACAATGATGCTCGTGTTCTTATTCCTGACTTTCTCAAGCGTTATGGACTTCCTCCTAATCATTTAATTGGGACACAACTTGCAGTAATTGCTGAAGAAGCACAAAAAGCAAAAGAGGAAAGTATGGTTAAATAGTGGTAATAAACGTGTATGTATGTGTAATAAAACGGGGATTTTTTTCTTATTCTAAAGTTGTTGTAGGCTTAAGAATTGTTTTGAGCTGTGTATTTATCTTAAATATTTTTTTTCTTTTATTTCACACATTTTTATTGCAATAAAATTATTAAAAATGATTTTGGTAGGGAGGAAGAATATTTACTTAAGTTAGGTTGTCACGGCTAATATACATATGAAATTATGTAAATTTAATTTTTCTGGTTCCACCCACTCGTCCAGTATTTTCCAAGGCTGAACTTCCTATTGCTGACATCCCCTCTGATATACCTCCATTTTGAGAAACTTCATGTCCAGCTTCAGTTAGAATTTTCAAAGAATATTTTGCTACTTAGCATTTATACCTGCTACATGTCCCGCTCCATTTTGTCCAGTTTCGGAAGCTCCTACATTTTGATGACCTGATGCTTCTGCTCGTTGTGCTCCACTTTCTGGTTGTCCTGTTCCTTCTGAATGTTGCCCCGTTCCTTCTGAATGTTGTTCACCCTCCGTGTGTTGATGTGCTTCCTCTCCTCCATGTTTATTGTTATTTTGATTTTCTCCGCCCTCTTCCTTATGCTCACTTTCACCTTCTCCTTTTTTCTTTTTTCCACCATGTGAGTGATCAGGCCATCCAACAAAACGAACCTAGGCGTTAATGAATTTAATGTTTATGAATATCTCTTACCGCCCCTCCTAAATGTTCGTGTTCATCCTCTTCTGATTCTGAGCTGTGCTCACCACCAAGTATGTGAGGAGATAAAATCTTTAAATTGTTTAAGATTGTTCTTAAATTTTAATTGAAATTTTTTCTTAAACTTAAGTTTTCAAGTTCACTTATTTCAAGTTTTAAAGTTTACACTTGTCGTTAAGTTTGCACTTAAGTTTTTAAGCTTGCACTTAAAAACTTTTTAGGTTACACTTAAAAACAAGTTTTTATTAAAGTTTTATTCAAGTTTGTCTTTGTAATTTGTTTACAAACCTCAATCAAATAATGTTCTTTGCTGTAAATACGTGGAGAAAGAAAATGAGGGCTAAGCACAAGTACAGCAAAAAAGTTTGGGGATAAAAATGTTACCTCGCCTGCGGCTTCAAATGGAAAAATATTTTATAAAATATTTTTAGAATTATTTACATGGTCCGAGAATTTGTACAAATAGAGCACGTGGGGAAGCAACACGTGCTTCTGCTGCTACAGGGGAAAGAACCTTTGGGAAAAAATTTTTTTATGATAAAATTTAAATCTTTTTGCTTCTCACTTCTGCCATAAAAGCTTCTGGACTGAGAGTATAAGTGTCTAAAACTTGGGGTGTTAATATTTGAGCTTTGAATACTTCAGGGCTTAGAACACGTGCAAATACTGCCATAGGAGAAAGAATTGTTGCGTAAAAGGCGACTGGGGAAAGTAAACGAATCTGAAGATTTAATTGAAATATCTTTTGTGTTTTGCTTTAATTACCGTCAATATCTCAGGAGAAATTATTTCCCTGTAGAATGCATGAGGCGATAAAAATAAGCCCTCTAGCACAACACCCCCCAGTCGAGTATCAAAAGCAAATGGCTCCAAAGTTAGTATTCTAGGGATTGGATGAACGCCAATTTCTGTATCTGGTGCCAAGCCACCAACCTGACGTTTTTTTCTTGCTTGTTGGAATGAAGGAACATTGCCATCTAAAAATATTATTTAATTTTTTTAATTCAAGTTCCTATTAAATTTTTAAGCTTAATCTTAAAAGTTTACTCAAACTTGTTTATATTTCAAGTTTGTAAACTTAAGTTTTTTTTCAAGCTTCTTTAAAAACTCAAAATAAGTTTTTCTCACAATTTAATGTTTTCCAATTTTCCGATTCCCCCAAATTTGCAATTGCTTCAATTTTTTCTTCCAAAGCATTTTCAGCATTTTCTACAGTATTCCAATTATTATTTTCGTTTATTCTTATTATTTTTTGTTGCCAATCAAATAAATAAGTATATCCAAGTTTATTTATCATTTCAATTTGTTTATTGTTTAAACTAGCTTTTAATTTCCCCCATTCCCCTTCTTTTGTTTCAATTTGTTTAATTGCTGGAAGAATTTTTGTTTCAAGTTGGGAAAGTTCTGGATTTAATTGATTAACTAAATGATCTAAAAGTGAGAGTCTAAATAAAAATTATCCAAAATTTTTACCCAAAATTTTATTCATTCCAGTTATATTAATTAACAAGTCTAACCACTCTATTTGTTCTTTTTGGCCAATAACTTCAAGAGGGAATAAATTGGATAAAGAAAGTGTTTGGTTGTGAAAAGCAAAAATATCTGGTGAAAGTAGTTGGCTTATATTTGAACTTAAATTGGTTATAAAATTGTTGTTTTTTGGTGTTTTTAATGTTTTCTTTCGAGGATATAAAGGGAAGAGGCGGGGGGATAAGAAAGATAAATTAGTATCTTCCTTCGACTTTCCTTCACTAATTGAGGTTGTTAATTGTTTAGTAAATTGTTCAATTTGGGCTTGGAGTCCATCCAAGTTTGAAGGAGTATTTGGTGAATTTGGAGTCAAACGGACATTTGACAAGAGATTAGCAAGAAAACTTGAAAATAAGTGATACTCAGAATGTTAAAAGTTTATAGTAATTACAACTCTAATGACCCTTTTCATTAATAGATGCTCCAATGAAGCTTAAATCCGACCTCGTTATAGTACATATTACAGTTTATTAGTCCAATCGAGATATTTAAGTTCAGTCAAATTTCAGAGTTTAATTAAAATTTATTTGTAAAATGTGATACTCAGATGTTTCAATTTGGATTAGTTCTCTCCCCTGACCCCCCCCCCCCCCCCCCTTAAACCAAAAATATTTTAATCACTTTGCATTTCTCTCATTCATTGTTGAAATGAAACGTTTGCAATGCTTCAATGTCCTCCCATACCTTTCCAAAATGCGCAAATTTCGAATATTTTTGGGAAGTTTAAAATCCATTTTATTGGCAAATAGAGTTCTTGTTGAAATTGATCTTTTATTTCGCTTATTTAATTTTCTCATTTTAATTAATTTGTTGCCATTTCTTTTCCTCCAAATTGAATAAAAATGATGAAATCTTTGAATTCTCCTTTGGTTGATTTGGGGTGGGATGGCTTTAAAATTGGCAACAGGATTTAATTTCAAAACGTTGAACGGGATGGGATCCCGCGGGATTAATCCCTTAAATACCGGTAATCCCGTTTGTCGTTCAAAACCCGAGATTCCTTGACGGGATCCCGTAAAATCCCCAGTACGGACTCCCGTCCCGTCCTGCACATTTATTTATTATTCACCTCTCTCTTTATTTCCCTCAGTCATACGGTAGGCATCTTTCAAACGATTTTTTGCTTTAATCAGTTTAACTAAACATTTTGCATAAAGTACAGGTGTTAGTTGTTCAAGTTTATATTCACTTAAACATTGATTAAATAAAATACGTTCAACTTGTGGAACTTCAGATAAAGATGCTCGTGCTTTGGCTTTCAACATTGTGAAAATTGCAGCCCGTTTAAAGAGTTTGTCGACATTGTCGATTGATAAAAGATAATTTTGCTTTAATTGTGTGTTTAATAAAAATTATTTTTCATATCAACCTGCTGTTCTGGAATAATGTTGCCATTTTTTGACATTTTTTGGTTTGTCGGGAATGACCATGTAAATGATATTTGAAGTAAAATGAGGAAAATTAAGTTGATGTAAAATGAGATCAAGCTGGGGAATGAATGGATTCGGCAAGAGAAGTTTGGTGAAGGAGTTGATGATGTAGAAGAGGGGAATAATGATGAAGAAGATGAAAAAGACAAAGGGAAGGAAGAATATGAGGAATAAAATGGTGAAGATTTGGAAATAGAATACAAGGGAGAAAAGGAGGAGGAAGTTGTGGGGAAGGAGGATGAATAGAGAAAAATATTAAAATTAGATTGAAAAGAATTAATTATTTGATTATTTTTATTTAATCTTCTTTTTCTTCTTTTTCGCTGCTGAAAGTTTAGTAAACAACCAGAAAAGGGAGGTAAATAAGAAGATAAATGTTGTTGCTTTTCTTGTTGAGATGGCATTGAAAATAAAAATTAATATTAAATGATGAATGGAAAGAATTAAAAAGACAAAACATTTTTGGGGATATTTTTTAGTTTTTTTTCTCTTTGAAAATAAACCGCAACAGGGCTAACTTTATTTTTTTACCTTTATTTATTCTTTCAGACGTGTACCACGCGATAATTAAAAGTGCCAGTATATAAATTAAATGAGAAAAAAGGAGAAGTTTTAGAGTCTTGAATATATATTTTGTTAATAATTAATGGATCAAAAATAATTTTTAAATTTAAATTTTTAAAGATTTTTATTTCTTTATTTATTCAAAAAAAGGCAACTACAAACTTTAATTGTAGTAAATTATTAAATTTTGATTATTACATATTTTTAAAGACAGGTTCTTCCATCTTATCTTCCCAATCAACAAAAAAATTAATATTTTTGGAAATATTAATCTTTTATTAAATACTCAAAAAAACATGTTTTGATTTTTTAAAATTATTTGTTTTTTTACAAAATATTTCAAAAACAAAATTTAACGTAAAATGGGTAACCAGATTAACTTAACTTTAAATAAAGAAAAAATAATTTTATTTTTTATATTTATTAGAATCTCCTCTAATCTTGTCATACAAAATTTATTTTTATATCTTCAATTTCCAAATGAGATTAGACTAATATTTAATTCAGACTCAAATGCTATAAAAAATTAAAAAAATGCAACAAAAATACATACAAGATTTTATTCGACAGACAAAAATATCTTATTCAATTAACTTTTTAAACTTTATTTAATTTGACAGAAAAACGGAGAGAACGAAAATATAGGAAGAATAAAAAAATATATTTAATTAATTAAATGGGTGGAGGGGAGGGGAGGATATTTTAATTTATAAAAAAATAAAAATTATTTAAAAATTAAAATTAGGAAAAATTTCTAATTATTTTCATGCAAAGCACGGGGATGAACGGACCTTTTTCGACCCGAAGCCCGACACGAAGAATTTTATTGGAAGCCCAAACTGATACCCCACATTTTCCATGAAACTTTTTTCCACGAGAAAGAAGTCTGGCTTCTTGACCTTCCAAAATTCTCGTCTTAAACATGACCATTCAACTCCTCTCAATAAACACTTTTAAACGTGTTTCAATTGCATATTCAAATTTCTCACTACAAAATTTATTCTTCCAACTCAAACTCTTCATTCGCTAACTGATCACTCGGAAAATATTTAAAATTGCCAAATATTTTACAAATTTATTCGAAAATCAAATTTACATACAAAACAAATTTACAACAAATCTAATAGAATATATTATGAGACATATGTACATATTACACACAAGGAAATTTAGGAAATATACAACATATAAATGAATGCAAGATAACAACAAAGGAAAATATGAGTTTAGATATTATATTCAGTTCATTTTTATCTCTTTAGAATTCTTCCCCCTCTGTGGCAGGTTCCTCCTCGGCCGTCTCCACCGGTTCTTCAGTGCGCGTCCCACCATCCCGACTCGGTGTTGCAACCAGTTTCTTTCCCGTATCATCAACTGGCAATGGCTCGGACTCAACGTTGGGCACATGATATACTGAAATTTAAAGAATTACCCAATGACTCCTTTTCACTTATTCGAGTACCTCTCTTCGGCTTCCCTGGTTCTTCCTCTTCAATAGGCTCGAACTTAGACCGACGCTTCCAGAAGCCCTTCTGGCGCCTAAGTATGGCAAGCACATCATCGGCTGGAGTCGAGATCATCTTCAGTGGTGTGACATCCCGTTCGAGCTTGAGTACCACATTTTTCTTTTCAATGATACTCTGTCGAATAGCCTGTAAAATAAAAAATTGAAAATTGTTTACAAAATTACTTGTAAAAATAACACCTTTTTAGCTGCAGAGACGTCGTTATTCACTTCCTTGCCGTTAACGTCAATCAACATGTCGCCTGGAAAGATGTTCTGCGCAGCTATACTGCCTGACTCAACGGACGCGACCATGATATTAGCTCCCTGGAATTGAAAGCTATTATTAATGTCAAGCCTTCATTACTCAATCAATTACCTTCCTCTCCACAACTATCCCAACTGGGAGATCTTCTCGCCATCTGATCTGCATGAAGACGGAAACGCGGTTCGGCTTTCGCGTGACTTCTGCGACCTTGAGTGTGGCCATTTTGAAGTAGTCGTCCCTGCGGAAACGGATGAGCAAAGATTTGGGTTGAGCGCCAGAATGCTGAGTTGCTCCTGTGAAGTCTTCTGCCGATTTTATGGCCTGAAAATTGTGACGTTTAAACAGAGTACTACCCTAATAATCGCAGAAGCTTACACGTTTGTCAATCTGCACGATCCAGTCTCCAACGAACAACCATCCAAAGAAGTAGGAGAAGATGTCGATCTTCTGTATCCGCGGCGGCGAGCTCCCACTGAAGAACGTCAGTCCCATGTCCGAGTCTTGGATCTCGATGGTAGCCTCATGCTCATGAATGTACTTCTTAGCTGAAAGAGAAAAGAAGGTTAGTTTAGAAAACAACCCTTGTATGATACATCCTCGTTTCTCGGCCATTGTACTGAGACGCCAAAGCAAGAGTGAGCAGCACAGCGACGAACCAAAAGCGGCCTTTAGTTGAATTGAGCACAGCGTTGTCGTCACGAAGTGCAGTGAGTTGTAGTGTTGGTTTATGCATCACCTATTAAGGCGCTTTTATACTAACCTAAAATTCCTAATAGAACCTTACTTCTTTATAAAATTCCCTGCTTAAGCACACCCCTGAGAGAGTTGAAAAATAAAAGCAAACTCACTATTTAGAAGCATACCACCTAGCAAGGAAAACTTCTTGGGGAAATTTTCTTTTCTTTTAACTGCTAGTAAACCCCGGCCACAACATCAAGTCGAATCTAAGCAGTGCTGGGCTATAGCTATTTCTCTCCTTCAGCTAGTGCAAAATCTTATTCAGCGGTTGGGAGCGAACCAGCATCTTCAGTTTACAGGACTGATGTGTTATCAATTACATCACGCCGCCTCCTGGCAAAGACTTTGGAAATACTTAGGCTGAGACATAAATAATTAGCCCCCCATGAGTTAAGCGAATTAAATAATTATTAGAATTCAACAAAATGTTTTAAAATGTAATTTATTTTTCTTTATCTTCCTAATAGAGTTACCTATTTTTGGGGCGACTATATTGCAATTCCTTTTGTATTTTTCTACATATTTTCCAATGCTTTCTTAAAGAAATTTATTTTATAAAATACATACCGTATTTATTCTAATTGAATGGCCCCTCCATTTGAATGGCCCCTCCAATTGAATGACACATTTTTGAATGAATGAAAAATAGAATGGCGGCCATTCTATTAGAATAAATACGGTATTTTTAAATACCTTCCTTCCCCTTCAATTTATAACAGCAAAACAATTAAAACTAGACAAAATATACATAATTTCCTTCAATCTTTATATTTTTCTTTACAAAAATCGGAGAGAGGTGAATTACATCAAATTTATTTTTTTGCTCTCCTTTTTTCAATTAAAAAGAAAGAAAAAATGAAAGGAATAAAAAGCATTTTCCCTCAATTTTTTAAAATATATTAATTTGTGTGTTTGTTTTGTTTAGATCGCCAACTAATCCATTGAACTTTTTTTGATTATAAAAAGATTAAAAAAATAATTTAATTAATTAAATTTTGGGTATTTTGGAATTGGAAATTTTAATTTTTAAAATAATTAGAATAAGTTGAGAGTCATTGAGAGTCATGATCACTCATCGGTTGAGAGTGATACCTGTCTCTATTAAATTTTAAAGAATTCATTTCTTTTCAATATTTTTACTGCAAGAAATTTCTCTTTCTTTCCGTTATTAAAAATAAACCGGTACAGTCGACAAGCTCATTTGGGTGGTTTAACAAATAAAAAGCTTATTTTTTCGAAGATTGTCGCATGCCATCATTTAAAATATTGATAAAAAATAAGAATAATCGAAAGGAAAAAAAAGGTTAATTTAAAAAATAAATATCATCCACTCACTTCCTTTAAAAAGAAAAGGTGTGTGGAAAGAGAGACAGGAAGAACAGAAAATATGTAAAAGGTTGGGGCGCCAAAGCCGATTGACCGTGAATTAAAAAGGAGATCAAGAAAAAAAAATAAATATAGATTTACTACATGAATTTATTTTTTGACGACTGCGCGGAAATAAGGTGCTTAATTTTTGTGTTTTTTTTAATTTTGTTATTTTTATGTTATTGCTTTAATGCTGGAATTTTTAAAGGAATTTTTATTAAATAAATTTATTTAATTTATCGATATTTATTTAAGGGTTAACTCTGAATAATTTTAAATGCTTCTTACTTCCCTCAAATTTTTCAGAATCTCAAAATTTCACATTTTTAAAATTTCAAAACTTTTATTTGTCTAAGAAAACATCAATTCTCAAGCTGTCAAATCATCAAAAATATTAGAAAAATATATATTTAATTTATATTTCCCTCGACATTCGTGAGAAATTCCTCCCTCATTCCTCTAAATCTCCACTCATTTCTTCAATATTATAGGATGAGTATACGCGGTATTAATCCGTTCAGCGACCCTTAAAAACTGCCAATATTCTTTTTAATATTTTATGTATTTTTGTTTGTTCTTTTTTTATAAATTTATTTTTAATTTTTTTTTCTACAAAAAATGTTTCTTAAATTTGTTCTAAAATCATTATTGAGGGAGTACTTTTTGGATTATAAATTCTTTTTTTCGACCATTTTAAATAATTTTTATACTATTCAAAAGCTCTAGATTTGCCTTTTTAAATTGTTTCAATCTAAAATTGAATGAAAACTAAGCATGAAAATCACGATTATTGTCACTTATTTGGCCATAACTTTTTGTGGAATGATTTGACAGGAAAAGTCCTTTTAGGAAAAATAATCAGCACATCTAGAGCTTTAGAAAGACATAAAATTCATAACTATAACTTGAAAACTAAAAAAAGTTACAGGGCCTAAAAATTAACTCATTGTTCTCCTCACAAGCCCAAATTTTCAATTAACGGCCATTTCAGTGCCAAATGCAAAATAATTACTGTAACTCATTAAATGGATTAATTACCTCCTCATTTATTCAATTATTTAATATTCTTGCCATATTAAATTCAATACCTCAAACAATAGCTATTTCTTATCGTTGTGAAGGGGATCAAGTTTTAGTAGTACAATCCTTTGGAAATGATACAATTCGAATGCATTGTCAACGTTTAAATGTTTGTGGGGATGTTGATGTTGTTAGTTAATTTATGGTGGAAATAAAAAATAAAATTTAAATAAATAGCATTGCCATTACGAAAAAAATCAGCCGGCATGTGGGGGAAAAGCTAATTTTGTTGCTCATGTAGACCAACCTACTCCATTGGCCCCTGTATCACATACTTGTTGTGAGGCGATTCCACCATTTGAAGAAAAGATGAATGAAATTCCTAGGCAAGTTATGATGGAAATTTTCAAAATTCCAAATTTTTATAGTCACGAAGGCAATGATTGTTTCATTTACGAACTTCCTGATCCCAATGCTCCCCCACCTGAAGAAGGGGAACATAACAGCAAAAAAGGAGAGGAGGAAGAAGAAAATGAACACTTTACAGTTCTCAACAGTATTGACCAATTACCTGGACATATAAACCCAGAAGGATATCATTATAGAATGAGGCTTTTTCTGTTGAGGTTTAAAAGTCCGCCTGCTCTTCTTGTAAAAGGAATTAGACGATTAAGGTATGTTTTGGGACCTTTTTGGAATTATTGTGATTTCGTCCCCGTCTCCATGTCCCTTTCCATAAAAACAAAATTTCATCTTTAAGGGAAGGATATCGAGTAACTATTTGCCGTCCACGCTGTAGAAGGGTAATCATCGAGGAAGATGAACGACAAGAAAAAGAAGAAGAAAATAATAATTTCAAAAAATGGATAACACAAAAATTGAGTGGGAATGAATCCCAAAAGAAGATACCCAAAACTTTAATTAAAGATTCAAGTGAAAAGATAATTGAGGGAAAGTTGACTGTTGTAGATGGAGGAGTTTTGGCACCTGATAAACAAACAAAAATAATCGAAAATGAAACAAACAATATGGTAAGAGAATAAAAATAAGGAAATAAAAATTAAAAGAAAATTAAAAGAAAAATATTTAGAGACTAGAACCATCATCAATCTCAACTACAACTGCAGAAAGTCCTTCAAATTATACACAAATTCACATTTCTACAAATTCTTCCTCTAATATAACAACTTCTGAAACCCTCAACAAAACCCCAAATATATTAATAAATACAAACAACAATGTTACTTTCATTTCAAGTGGTACTGGGCAACACAACAATGTTTATATAAACAACAATAATAATTTAACTGTAATTTCAATTGGAAATTTAAAAAATGAGGAAGATATGAGGAATAGAAGTACTTTAATGAGTAAAAATAATATTTCTGTAACTGATGGAGAGACTAATGAAAAAGATAAGGAAAGTCTAAGAGAAAAAGATAGAGAAGAAATTAAACAACCGGAAATTAAAAATCCGGAAAATATGGAGAAAGGAAACAAAGAAATTAAAAATAAAGAAGAGAAAATGGAAGCTGAGCGTACAAAATTAAAATACACAAAATTAGAAAATACAAGCAAAAAGAATAAAAAACCGGAAGAAAGGGAAAATACAAAACCGGAAACAACAAAACCAGAATTTACAAAAAAAGAAAATACAAACAAAGGAAGTACAGAACCGGAAATTACAAAATCAGAAGGAATAGAAAAAGAAAATACAAATAATGAAAAAATAGAAGAAGAAAATACAAAAGAAGGGAGCGCAAAACCGGTAAATACAATGGAAGGAAAATCGAGTTTGGAAAATTTTTCTGTTAGAAAAGGACTAGAAAGAGTAATGCCAGAAGCTGCCCAAAAAGAAGAAAATAAAATTGGAGATGTGGAGAAACCAATTGTAAATAGAGAAAAGGAAAAGGATCCAAATTTTAATAATTTTGAAGGGGAAAATAATAAATTGGAAAACGAATCCGGAAAAGGGTTCCCTGGAAAAGATTATTCCGGAAAGGATAGAGAAAGAAAATTTTCTGGTAAAGAAGGAAAAGAAACCGGAAAAGAATTGAGAAAAAATTTTGAAAAAGTCAATGGCGGAAGAGAATTTGGAAGGAATTCTGGAGGTGAATTATTCGGGAGCGGTTCAGGAAAAGGGGATGGGAAAAGGAAAGAAGACGAAAACGGAAATGATGAATTAAAAGAAGGTCAAAAAAGAAAATTAAACAGAAATGGATATGATGGGTATGAAAATAAAAATAAGTCTGGAGATGGTTCTGTAAAGAAGGGGAATGAAGAAAATGATGAAACAGGAAAAGAGGGAAAAGAACTAACCGGAAACGATTCCGAGAAGAAGGACAATAAAAATAATATCAAAATTCATAACGCTGGAGAAGGTGATGAGAAAAATGAAAAAAGAATGGAAGAAAACACGGAAAGAGAAAAATTAATTAAAGAAAAGAATCGTTTAGGAAATAAAGTAAAAGAGGATGAGGAAAGTGATGAAGAGATGAAGAAAAGTAAAAAGATTTTGGTTAAAAAGGGAAAGGAAGAGGTTGAAGGGAGGAATAAACAAAAGAAGAAAAATGATGAGTTTGAAGAAGAAAATGGAAGAGGATTAAAAAATGGGGGAAGAAAAGGGTCTTCTATTGGAAGAGATTTGGAAGAGAGAAGGGGGAGAGAAGAATTTAAAGAAAGGGAAAGAGGAATGGAAGGAAGGGGTATGGAAGGAATATCTAATGAAAATGATAAAGGATTGGAAGAAAGTGAAGTGATAAAAGATGGAAACACTGAAAGGGGAAGAGGGCTGGAAGAAGGAAGAACATCTAATGAAGAAAAGAATGGAGGGGGAGGATTTGAAGAGAAGGAAAGGGAATCAAATGGAAGAAAATTAAACGAACGAGAGGGAGAAGGAAGATTATTTAAAGAAGAAAATAAAAGAAGAGGATTGGAAGAAAATAGAAGAACAGCAAGTGAAACTAATGGTAGTGGATTGGAGGAAGGGATGGAAGAAAATAATAAAATAAGAGTTGAAGAAAGTGGAAAAGAAGAAAAGTCTGAAACTGACCTGAAGAAAAATGATGGAATAAGAAAAGGATCTGAAAAAAGAAAGGAAGAAACAGAGGGAACAATAAACAATGACAGGAAGGAAAAAGGAAGAGAATTGGGAAAAGAAAAGTCGGAGGGCGAAAAATTTCCTAATGAAAAGAATATAGAAGATAGAAGGGAAGAGGCTGGAAGAAGTGGAAGAGTATTAGAAGAAGAAAAGAATAAAAGTGGAGAACAGATAGGAAGGGAAAGAGAAGATGGATCAAGTAGGAGAGGATTAGAAGAAGGAAAGGAAGAACTTAGAAAAGTAGTTAATGAAGAAAATAATGGGGGAAGAGAAATGCAAAAAGGAAAGGAAGAAAGAAGTGAGGCAAGTAAAGAAACAATCAATAAAGGAAGAAGAGGAAAGGGTGGATTCGGAAGAGTGTCTGGTGAAAAAGAACGAGGAAGAGGATTGGAAGAATTAAAAGGAGGAGAATTAGGATCTAGAAAAGGATTGGAAGAAGGAAAAGAAGAGAATGGAAGAATGAGTGAGGAAAATAAAAGAGAAGGAGGATTGGAAGGAAAGGAAAAGAGTGGAGGTGTGAATGCAGAGAAGGATCTAGGAAGAGGAATGGAAGGAAATGAAAATACTGGAAGAGTGATTGAAAATGAGAATCGAGGAGGAGGATTGAATGAGGAAAAAGAAGAGAATGGAAGAGGGAGTAAAGAAAACAACAAAGAAGAAGGATTGGAAGAGGGGAGAGAAAAGTTCAAAGGAAGAGACAGAGGAAAAGAAGAAAAACATGAAGAAGAACAGGAAGAAAAAGGATTAAATGAAGAGAAAAATAATATTCCAAAATCCTCCAGAAAAGAGGAGAACGGAAATGAAGCAAAAACAGTAAAGAAACTTTTGTTAGAAGAGCATGGAGAAAAGCCAAAATCTTCTAGAGAAGAAAATAATGGAAATCGAGATTCTGGTTTAAATGGAGGGAAGGATAGTGAAGGAAAAATTAAGGAACCCCATCAAGTCAGTTCTGAGGAAAATGAAATTAACAAGCATTGGCGCCCTCATACTCGAGCAAAAAAGCCAGAAACAAGTACTAGAATGCCTAGTACTATTACAACAATTCCAATGACAAGTAAAGGTGGTGGTGAGATTTCAAACAGAACAACAACAGAGATATCATCAACACATACACAAACAACAACAGACCCTTTTACACACCCACAAACATTCGAAACAACAACGGAACATAGAAGACACCTCAAAACGACAACCGAACCTCAAACTTCGTCTGAATCAACTACAGAACCTTCGACAACAACAACTTCAGAGATATACCCAAAAATAGTTACAGACCCTCAAGAAACAACAGAAACTTCGACTTCAACAACATCCCAGTCTGTTACCCCCACAACTAAAGAATCAAGCGAAATGGTGGAAGAAGCAAAAGAAGATTCTAGGGAAGGAGAGAAAGGCAACAAAAATATATTTTATTAAAATTACATTTTTTAATTAACAGAAAAACCTCCTCCAGATAAACCTCATTCTCTTCAACATAGCGAACCTATTAAACAAAATGAACAACCAACACCTGCAGAATCAACTTCAAGCTTTGAAGAATTATTTGGATTATCACATAAAAATTGTTTTAGTGGTGATACTCTTGTACAGACAGTTAATGGGGTTAAAAGAATGGATAGACTGGAAGTTGGGGAATTGGTATGGAGGGGTTTTTTGTAAAGAGTGAAGAAAATGGTTTATACCGCCCTTCTATCTTGAGTCTCTCTGCGCTCAAAATAAATGAGGGGGGGGGGGGGCGGTATAAACAACTTTCAGAGAATTTTGAGTTTTTTTGTCTCCGGAACTAAAAGATTTTTTGTGGCATAATTAGTCAATTTCTTTTAAGGTATTGGTACCCGCAAGCGGTAATTCTCTCAAATTTGAACGTGTAGAAATGTTTTATCATAGAAAGCCTGATGCAAATGTAAGGGAGGAGGGAGGGGGAGGATTTAACTTTTTAATTTAAATTTTATAGACACTCTTCTTTCAAATAGAAACAGAATCGGGAAAACAACTTTCTTTAACTCGTATATTGTTAATTAATTAAATTAAAAATCTAAAAATTATGTAGCTTTACATTTATTGCCTTTTGGTAATTGTTCGGAAATGGAATATGGAGAATTGGATTCTGACAAAATTGAAAGATGGCTACAAAAATCTAGGTAAAAAATTGGAAGTTGAGAGATTACCCAAAATTAATTAACTCCCTTTAATCGAGAAGTAGAAACTTTAATTACCCAAGGCTACTTGCCTCGAAAAAGTATGTAGTTGTTTAAGTAGCTATCCACCTTTGGATAAAATGGTAAAAAATAATTCTTTAACCCCAAACTTATTTAAAGATTTGCTCATAAAGCACGTGTAGATGACTGTGTTTTCACTGTAACTCAACAAAGGAATAAAGGAGTTAAAGTTAACGTTGAAAGGATACGAAAGATTGGAAGACGTTATTCTAGAGGAATATATAGGCAATTAAAGATATATTTTATATTTAAAATTTTTTCATTAAAGTCCAATGACGGTTGAGGGTGCTTTGTTGACAAATGGCATTCTCAGTTCATGTTTTTCACAAATTGAAAGTCATGTCTTACAAAAGGCAATTTTTGAAATTTTTATTATTATGAGAAGCTGACATCTTAATATTTTACCATTTCATACATACACTGCTCCACATAACTATAAGTTCACCCTAAATTTTCTTTTTTCTTGGCTTCTATCAAGTCAATCGGGCTGATTTTTATTTTATATTTATTAGAGCGGGTAGCAATTCATATAAACCCGAGAAATCCAAAAAATTTCCATTTCAAAATTTTTTATCCAATTTTTTCAAAAAACACCCTCCACATAACTATAAGTTCACCTACAGAAATCACATAAGGAATGCTCGAAAAATTCTACAAAAATTCATGTAAACATTTTCATCGATAATAAGTAAAAAATAAAAAAGAACGAAGTCTGCAAGTGCTTTTTTCATCGAGATCCAAAATCTTGAAAATCAACGGGAAATGGAGGCTACAGTACTTAAAAAATATTTTCACAAGTGTAGACTATAGATAAAATTTTTTATTTATAGTCCTCAGCGATAAAATTTTTCCCCATTATAGGACTAAGTGTTTTTTGTAATAAATTTTATTGGCTTTCAGATGAACTAAAATAAAAAATTTTATCTATAGTCTACACTTGTGAAAATATTTTTTAAGTACTGTAGCCTCCATTTCCCGTTGATTTTCAAGATTTTGGATCTCGATGAAAAAAGCACTTGCAGACTTCGTTCTTTTTTATTTTTTACTTATTATCGATGAAAATGTTTACATGAATTTTTGTAGAATTTTTCGAGCATTCCTTATGTGATTTCTGTAGGTGAACTTATAGTTATGTGGAGGGTGTTTTTTGAAAAAATTGGATAAAAAATTTTGAAATGGAAATTTTTTGGATTTCTCGGGTTTATATGAATTGCTACCCGCTCTAATAAATATAAAATAAAAATCAGCCCGATTGACTCGATAGAAGCCAAGAAAAACGAAAATTTAGGGTGAACTTATAGTTATGTGGAGCAGTGTATAGGGTTGGGGGTCTGGTCCGGTCCGAAATCAAGTCGGGCATCAAATTTTGGCCCGAAAAGGACTCGGTCGAGCCGTCCCGATAAAAATAAAGCCGAAAAAATGGCTCGAATGTCGGCCCGACTTGAAAACCCCAACCCTAATTTCAAACATTTTTACAGCTTTCTTTTGACATTCTTGTCTCAATCTACAGATTTTTTGGTTTTTTGACAGGCAAGAGAATTTTTTAAAATTTTTTTCAAAGATTTTAAAATTTTCAGATTTAATAGAAAGAACAGAAAGGATTTATTATAGAGAAATCCCAGTGCCTAGTCTTGTAGATTTTCTATACAAAATTAGTAGACATATTGTTCCTTTTGTAAAATATTAATATATTCTCTTTAAATAAAATTTTATTTTATCTCGAAAAATAAATTTTCTAAAAAAAATAATTTAATCAAAAGTCAATGAAAAACAAAAATTTTCAAAATATTTTCTTGTCTAGTAAATCAAATAAAAATATTTATTTCTCAATTTTTATTCTTTCAATTTTCGGATTTTAATGTAAAAAGTCGCTCCCCTATCCAATTCTTCCTTATAAAATGCAAATTTTATTTTTGGATTGTAAATATTGGAAATTTGGAAAGTTGTGTATTTTACATAATCTGATTGCTTAATTTCAACTTTTTCTGCTCGCTCATTTAATTCAAAATTTCTGAAGAAAATTCGGTCAAAAATAATAATAGGCACAATTTTAGAACAGTCTTTAGATGTTGTTATATACTAAAAATTAAAATTTATTTTTAATTTACAAATAGATAAATTTACTGTATTTGTATAGTTTATGCACATTGAGTGTAAAATAATATACATAAACACACCATAATAATCACAACTTTTTTGGAACCATTAGAAGTAGGATTGCCGTTCGAGCCGACGCTCGATGCATATTTTCCGAGCTTAGTTTTTTTCGATTCGGTTCGTTTTCGAGCTGAAAAGCCTCGGCTCGCTCGATCTTTCGAGTTTCGGGTCGAGCGAGCAGGCAACCTACTTAGAAAACCTTTTTGCCAATTATTAGAGATTTTGTCCGAGAAGCTTATATAAAAATTTGGGTATTTGAAAAAGAATAGTATTTTCTTTATAGGGACAGAAATCCATACCGCTTGTTTGCTACGGAAATGGGAAACAGACAATAATGTCGGTATATTGTGTAAATTTTTTGTTTTTCCCTTCTAATTTTTGTCCTTCTAATGGTACCAAAAAAATGTGGTGATTATGGCGTATTTATATTATTTGAGACTCATGGTGCATAAACTACACAATTACCGTCAATTTACTTGTATAATAAAATCATATAGCTTTGTTAACTTTGAATTACTAAAATTAATTTTTGGTAATTTATTGGCATTGTTTATTAAAATATCAAATAAAATATTTGTATGTCCTTCTGAAATGTCAAAAAATTTAAAATTAATGCTAAGAAATTGAGAAATTGATAAATAATTTAAAGCAAATTTGAAAGAATTTTCAAATATTTTATTGTTAGAAGATATAATCGCTTCTTGAATGAGGAATTTAAGAGTTTTGTTGTTATCAAATAAAATATTAAACATTTCTGGATTAAATACACATTCATCAAAATAGGCATATTCAAAAGCATAATTAAATAGTTGTTCTAGGCAGCAGCGAATAATAATCATTTCTTTAATATTTTTTGGAATATTTGGCAATTTTAAAATATAACAGCAAATGAGAACTTTCACAGAATTCTTATTTTTATATCAAAAAATAATCCTTTTTGATTGGCATAATTTCAATAGGCTAACTTTTGAAAAATAAAGGCAAAAAAGTAAGGGTTATAAAAAAATTAAACAAACATTAATGTTTCTCAGTTAATATGCCTCAATGGAATAAAGTGAAATCGAGGAAGGGAAAAATATTTAAAAAATAAAACTAGAATTAGTGGGGGCGAAACTCTTAAATTATAAACTAAATCTTAAATTATAGAGAACTTTAACTCTCCATTCCACTTATGAGTTGTAAATATTTGAAATTCCTTATTCTGTAAATTTTTTATTAATTTTATTGGGAGAAAATGAATGAGTAGACAATGCATGTAACATAAAATTTATCATTTAAAAAATGAGAGAAAACAAAATGTAAAAGAGAAATGGATAAAATTTGCATAAATCCAAGGATGGATTGGACAACTTGCGGAAATATTCATAACATTCAAAAATAAATTGGCAGGCTTTAACCTGTTAAAGAATGTTGTTGACTAAAAAACTGAAAAAAATCAAGAAAAAGCTCAATCTTTTTTTAAATGTATTTATAAAAAATTAATAACAATAAGAAGCAAATAAAAACTTTAAAAATACTTTGTTTTCCCGTAAATCAAATAAAATATTAATTTTCTCAAAATTACTCTTTCATTTTTTTGATATTAGTGTAAAAAAGTAATCCTCGATAACATTCTTCATTACAAACTGCAAATCTCATTTCTGGATTGTGAATATTGGCAATTTGGTAATTTGTGTATTTTATATTATGTGAATGTTTAATTTCAACTTTTTCTGCTCTCTCATTTAATTTAAAAGTTGAGGAAGTGTAAAAACCAAAAATAATATGAGACACCATTTTAGAGCAATCTTTGGATGTTAGTATATACTTAAATATAAATGGTACTTGTGAATTATCCCAAACCAGTTCTTTCAGACATATCTATGCGGACGGACTTCTTCCTTCTTCAATTTCATTTCCCTGTGGCATATTCAATGTCTCATTGAACTCTCGACAGACTCATGGGCGATGAAGAAAATCAGTTACTGAATAAGTGAATGAGGAAGTAGGGTGCAAGTTTGGAAGAAAGATGGGTTGACCGTTCTGTTCATATGAATGAGTTCACATAAATATATCAGCAAGAACTGGCTTGGGATAACTCACAAGTACCACATAAATTTATTTTAACTTGTAAAATACCTAACACTTACTTTAACAATAAGATAATACAAATTTAAATCCCTAAAACTTCCTAAACGAATTTTTGGGAATTTATTGCCTTCATTTATTAAAATATTAAATAAATTATTTGTGTGACTTTCTGTAATTCCGTAGTCATCAAAATTGATGCTAAGAAATTCAGAAATTGATAAATGATCCAATGAAAATTTCAAAATAATTTCTAATGTTTCGATGGTAGCAGATAAATATGCCTTTTGATTTTTAAATTGAAGAGAAGGAATTGTTTGGTCGTTATAAAATAATATATTTAACATTTCTGGATTAAACACATTTTTATAAAAATAGACTGATTCGAAAGCACAATTAAATAGTTGTTCTAGCCAGCAACGAATAATAATCATTTCTTCAATATTTTTTGGAATATTTGGAAATGTTAAAATATAATCAGGTTTTCTGTTACCTAGAAAGA